GCACCCTGGTGGTGTGTTACCTAGTTGGTCTATGGTCCTACTCCTGTGAAGATTCTTTGAGGTTCTGAGGAGGACGGAGCTTACACCCCAGACACGCCTGGCTATAGGTAAGAACAGGCAAACATTGTTCTTTTTGTTTTCTCTCTCTTTTTCTGTTCTTCTCTCTTTTTCCTCTTCAAGCCACTTCCTTATTCCTTCCCCTGCACAATTTCCTTCGGGAGGGGGAACAGGTGAGATTAGATGCGCTGCGCAACATGGTCATGGCCAGCTGAGACCAGGCCATCAATTTTTCATGAAATGGTCTATAATGGACCGTGCGAGGAGGAGTTGGAAGGCGTCGAATGGCAGGAGATCTGGGAAGCAGCGGCAACCTCATCGATATGTGTCTCCATGCAGGAGCAGGCTTATAAAACCATGTTCAGGTGGTACGCCACTCCGGTAAAGCTCTGCAGAATGAATAAAATGTCTACAGATTTGTGTTGGAGAAGTTGCGGCCAGAAAGGGACTTATTTCCACATGTGGTGGGATTGCCCAGAGGCACAAAAATACTGGAAACATATCGCGGAACTATTGCGGGATATCTTTAACAGAGAGGTCCACTTGGACCCCTGGGTATTCCTCCTGGCCAGGTCTATGGATGACTGGTCTAGAACGGAACAGAAATTAATACTTAAAGTAAACTTGGCTGCTAGGAGGGCTTTAGCGCAGGTTTGGCTGCAGAAAGAGATTCCCTCACTCATTCTGGTAATACAAAAAATTAAAGACACTTTTCTCATGAACAAATTAACCGCACAAGTCCGAGGTAACTTACCGAAATTTGAAAAGACCTGGGGACCTGTGGGTAGATAGCAGAGTTGGCGATTAGGAGATGGGGGGGTGGGCTTGTCCCCCCAGCACTCCTGTTTTTGTAGCCAATCTATCTTAACTTTTGACTCACCTAGTCTGCACTCCCGCAGGGGGTTGATCGGGATCCCACAGGCAGTCCCGCACAATCTGGCCCAATTCACAAACATTGTGATATGGCTTACAAATTTTGGAGTCACATTGTAATTAGGTCGCATAGACCTGCGATCGCCATGGCTGGTAACTCCCTGTATTACTCCCTCCTGTAACCCCCCCTTCCCCTCCCTCTTAACTCTCCTTCCCCCTTCCCTCCCTCTGTTTCCTCTTTACCTCTTTAAGGTTTTGTCTACTTCTATCACTCCTATCACTACATTCTTCTTTACTCTGACTGACACTTACATTTCGACCATAACAATTGCGAGAGCATTACCTTTCATATGATGAGACACAGGAGACAATTGTCACGGTAGTGTACCCCAACACGCACGATTTAGTCCAACGAAAGACAAGATAAAAAAGATACGTCTTACCAGGCCTTAGAATGGCCGGACTCAACGTAGTACAGGGAAATGACAGTCAGGAACGAGCCGAGGTCAAGGGAACAGAGAGACAGTGAAAACAAGAACTTAACCAAGGACTGGTACACAAGAGTCAGGAAACCGGCAAACAAGCCAAAGCAGGGATAAAGAGAAAAACGGAGTCAGGTACAAAGCCAAGGTCAAGCACGAAAAAAACACTACTGGACGAAACAAGCAGTAAAGGGAACTGAATCAGAAACCACGATAGGGCAGGGAGCTAAGGGAAAGGTGAGTATAAATACCAGAGAGTTTAATTTTGATTGGCCCCTGTCATATCCACGCCCCCAAAACGTGAGTGTATGGGGAATGTGGAATGACATGGGCCAATGGGAAACCGTTTTACATTTCGGTTCCCACTGTCCCTTTAATAGCGCGCGCGATACCCGCGGTGCGCTCCCAGAGTCAGGCGAGTCACGTGGCTGCGTCTCGCGGTCAGTGCACGCCTTCCGGCCCCCGGAGAGGGTAAGTACCGCTACAGCAATAACACTAAACTGGTTATACAACATTGGTGACACTAAAAGCTGAGCTAGATACCTCGCTTGCTACGATCTCACCAAAGCACTGTATAGGTCGACAAACCTAGGCACTGAATATCAGGGTCCTGTTCACAATGGTTGGTCATATTCTCACTGTTTTACCCTTTATCAAAAAACCTGGCGGGGCACCACTGATGTACAGACTACAGCAGTTGACACACAACAGTCTGCTGCACGATGTAGAAGTTTGTCTCTATAAAAACGCACACTTGTTCACCTCGTGCGAATATGGATATATCTTTGGAATAATATTTATAACCCTGTTGTAATGTATAATTTCATGTGGTGTCTTACCTTGGAATAAATAAAGAATTAAAAAAAAAAAAGAAAATTTGAAAGTGTGAAGGCCTCCCTGATGAGAAGGGTTTCACCACCAGAGATGTTCTTTCCCACCTTTGTGAGAGGGAGGCTGTAGAGCAGAGCAGGAACAGCTCTTAAAAGAGCTAGTGATTATAACTCTCTAACAAGCAATCCCAAGAGCAGGGATTATAGTAGGAATAGCTTTCCCCTACAAGCACGAGACAAGGCTCTGTGTTGAGGGTAAACAGAAACTGACTTTTAATGGTGCTACAATGGCCTCTTATGCAAGTTCCCAAGCAAGGGGTACGCCCACATAGAGCTTGTTGGGGACAGGGACACAAAGCTTACAAACCAATCAGAACAGTAATTAAATGTACAACACTCCCACAACAAACACACAATGTCTCTTCCCTCTGCCTGTGAGATAATTGAATCAGATACTGTATTAACCCAATGATATCCAGGCAGAAAAAACACATATTTTACAAAACCCTAGAAGTGCCCCAAAAACACAACATATCCCCATAAATGTCACACCCCCTGATAGCCCTGATCTGGGTGACCAACATATCCAAAAATCACCCAGATCAGAGCAGGGGGTTCAGGAAATTCCTGGAAGTCTCTTTTTGACCGAGCACACGCATGGTTTCATGCCCCAAAACAGTTTCAGAGAATCAAGCTGTGGGGCCGGTCTATTTCCAATAATCGAAATACCATTTGAATTACCGAACGCAGCCGTTCGTGAGTATAGTCATTATGTGTCTCTTGTTCGTGGATTACTTTTTACCGAATGCCGTTCGACTCCTGTTCGAATAGCCGAAACTCCATGGTAGGTAAACGTTTAGCGGTGTTCGTGCCGTTGAGTGTCCGATTTGAGTTCCATGTACTCGACGACCAAACACCGCTGAAAGCGTCCGACTAAACATAATGGCCGCCGCCACGTGTTTGAATGTCGAATGGCAGCCACTTCGATTCACTTCAAAAGTTCGATTTGGTAAAGTACCAGTCCAGAAAAAGGGCACAAACAGTATTTATTTTTCCACAGGGCCAGAGTCATAAGGAGATCCGTCACAGTAAGTGACACTTTGTATGTCAGTGAGAATTTGTAAGTGACACTGTGTATGTCAGTGAGTGTGTCTCTTTCTTTTGCTAAATGTGTGCTCACTATGTCTCTCTCCTAAAATGTTTCCCAGTCTCTGTTTCCTAAATATCTCAACAGTTTATCTATCTTTTCCCTAAATGTATTCCATAGGCTGTTTCCGTTCTCACCGTGCATCTGCTTTCAACTAAAGGGACACTATAGGCACCCAGACCACTTCAGCTAATTGAAGTATTGTGGATGCAGTGTCCCAGGGCCCTTATCCTGCAAAGGCTATTGTTGCAGTTTTTAAGAAACTGCAATAATTGCCGTTCAGGGTTAACTCCACTTCTAGTGCCTATTCACGGGGGCGTCCAGAGTCACTCAAAACTCTATAGGAAAGCATTGTATAATGGTTTCCTATGGGGGAAATCCTAATGCGAGCACGGCCATTGAAAGGTGAAGGCGGACCCGATCGAGCGCTAAAAGACATCAGCGCTGGACCCAAGTAAGTGACAGAAAGGCTTTTTAACCCCTTCTGCACCACGAGGGGAGTGCACTTGATGGAGTAGAAGCTATAGTGCCAGGAAAACAAGTTTAGTTTCCCTATACGTCTCTTCACTGCAATTCAGAGTTTGGTGAATAAACCTCTGAGGGGGCGGAATTCTTGCACCTGCCCTGTGTGTAGGAATGCATTGTGTGTAAGGGACGCATGGTGTGTTTAGGGATGCATTGTATGTTTCTGTACGTGTGTGTGTGTGTGTGTGTGTCAGGTGGATAATAAACTGCTGTATTTTTGTTTTATTGATGCAGATACTGGTAAGGAGTCTTCTTTTCTGTCTTCCAGGCCAGTAATTAACTGCAATTGCCACAAGGCAAGCCATGCAAAGAGAACACGCTTTAAAAGGAATCGAATGCCTTATTAGCATGCATTTCTATTAGCATAGCAGGATATACAGACCTATTATAATTAAACTAACGCTACAAGCACCATAACCACTACAGCATGCTGTAGTGGTCATGGTGCCAGGAGTGCCCTGGTGACCTCTTATTATAGGGTGTCAAACTTCCACTACAGCTCAGTGAGAGCCAGAAACTGTCTTCACTGAGCCAGTCCATAGGTACAGGAGTAAATTCTGTCTCTCGCTGAGCTGTAGAGGAGGCAGAGTGCACCGCCTGGCCGATCCTAGGTAAGAAGTCTTTTAAAATTCAGCACACTGTAGTGGTTATGGTGCTTGGAGTGTTCCTTTAGCATGCTCATTATTGGCCATTTTTATCCCTATATAAATCAGATTGCCAGTGTGACATCAAGCTTTTTTTTCCATTTTGTCTGCACACTGGACAACGACAAAAGCAGAGATGTTTGAAAGGTTAGACTTGAGGTTTTTTTTAAAGCTTAAGTCACTCTGTCACTATGTACCCCTTTACCCCTTTTGCCTTGCTTTGGACCAATAGCAGGAACAAAAGGACTATGTGAAAAGTCAAACTTTGGATGTTCCTGAGTATTTTTTTAAACATGGATGAGTATGTAGCCTTGCAAATAAAGGTAAATGGGGTTAACAGCTCTCTTTAGAAATCTGTGCAAAACATCTGCAGTAACGAGGAGACCAAATACAGGAATATGTTATTGTTGGTGCCAAGGTTAGGATGTCCGCCCCATCCGCTCCTCTCCCTATATAACAGACAGTGAATGTGTGATAGCAATTCACAGCATTAGAAACCTGGAAGAATGAAGTGTGGTGGCTGCTTTCTCTTGCCTTGCATCCTCTTCCTGTTTTTTAATGGAGAATATGCCGTCTGTACCCCTCTCTCCATCCCAAATCAGGACACCTCACTCTCAGAGCAGGTAAATGAGGGTGACAATTGCTGCACTGATTGATAGAATCTCTAATATAGCTATTGATTTATGACAATGTTCTAGCTTATTTTTACCTGGTTTAAAAGTATTATTGCACATGCATGAAGATTGAAAACCAAGATTTAAGGCCATAACGTTCAAGCTGGATAATTTTGCCAATCTGGTTATATTGAATGAAAAGCTGCTCTCTCCTTGTTGAATCTAAAAATTCCGGGTTAGTGAAAAGCTGTAATTGTTATGTTTTACTTTTTATTTATTACTGGTATTTATAAAGCACCAACAGATTCCGCAGCGCTGTACAATTAGTGGAGAACATACAATATACACAGACAAATACAAAAGGTAGAGAGGGCCCTGCCCGTAAGCTGAAAGCTTGCCATTTAAACTCTTTTATACAAAGTGCTTAGGTAGATTGTCCGCGAGCTTACAATCTAAAGGATACCGTGGGGATTTGAGACAAGAGGTGGCAGGGGAAATTTGGAAGTGATGGCTAAATAAGTAACAGAGAGTTGCAGCTATTGGTAGAATATAGAGGGAATGAAGAGGTGAATGTGTGAGAATTTTAAACAGCTGGAGAAGCATGCTATAAATTTAGGGGGAACCTGGGTGGGCGAGTGGTTCTGCTCTGAATATTTTTACATTTGATAAATATGCCCATTGGTTTCTGAAAATATATCTATTCCATACCTCCCGTTATTTCAAATAGACAAAGAAGGACACTTTAATTGTTGGGGTGTAAAATGTAATTTAGAAATGTAGTCAAATTGCTGTATTATTGCTGTGGAGCAATGTTATATACTCATACACCACACAACAACAATATGGAGCTCCTAGAATAGAGAGACGTTAGGAGAGAAAAGAGGGACAGAGGGATTTGGACTCAAAATAGGGACTGTCACTCGTAAATAGGGTTACATAGAAGGTATGCTACTCTTTACCTATCCAAATAGTCCTGTACTCTTTCATTCAATTCTCTAATGATCATAATGTATGTTATAGAAGCTTGTGATATAAATACCATCTCTTTCATTTGTTTAAAAAAATAACAAAAATCTCTATTGTGCTAAATAATGAATTTATTTGTATAATGTAGGTTTTTGTATGAACAGAAATATATTTTTTTAAATATTTTATATACACGTGTTAGGAACTGTCAAAACTCAGTGTATGGTATTTTACTGACGTATTTTTATCTAATACACTAATAAATATTGTGTGTCTGAAGGGTAAACGGCTCACCAGAGCGTTCATCTGTCCGATACACCATGGGACTTAATCACTAAACTAGGCATTGAGGAGAACTGACAATTACATTTTAGATCAAAATAAGCCATATTGGAAATATTCTCCAACTTAATTATTTGTTGAGCTTGACTGATTTGACCTGACATTTACAATTCCCCTGTCGTTTATCGAGTTTAGTAAATAACACCATATGGCTTTTCGCATAAAGATAGCGGTGAAATACCTGAGATGCTTTCTGGGAACAAACGTTAAAACAAGAAATGTTCCATGATCATAGCCACAACTCATACAGTGCCAGCAAATTCTAGCAACTCGGTGTACAGTACTTAAATGGTATTACAGTAATTGGTATCACGGAGGCTTGCCAAGGCAAAAGCCAACGATCACATACTTCTAATCTAGTCAATAGGAAATGTGAACAGGCGAAGATCAGAGGTTTGTTTCATTCAGCCCACGGCTAGTTATATCATTTTATTGTAAGTGTCTCTGTTATCCAAATGGCGACACAAATATCCAACCTATAATTCCAACTGAATTCAGATTTTTTTTTTCAAGATCAGCCATTTTTGCCTACATCATGCCCAATTTTCATCTGCTTTAGCTGAGAGTTTATATGTTTGTCCTTTCCAGCAGTATAAATCCATAAGCCAAGAATGAAAACTGGGGACTTTGCGTTTTATTATTCTCTTTATATATGAATACATACAAGAGAGGATACAGCTGTAGTTCTACAACATAAAAACAAATGATGGTGTAACACTGTAAAATAAATGTAAAATGCTTATAGCGCATATATATGATGTAGTCATATGATATTTAAGGGATAATCGTTGGGATATCCCTGGAGGAAGCTGTCACCACTATCCACTGAGATATGTGCTTTTTTTTTCACTTCCCTATGGTTTTTAGGTGTTAGTGATTATTTTTGTTGTATATATTCTATTTATATGGCTTAGTAAAGATCTCTGGCACTTGTTACTTTGTTTTCTTTAACTATTTCACCAATGCTACGGTACGCACCAAATTAATCACCTCAACCTCATGACTAAAATTCATCTTTTATTCATGTGTCTATACATGTTTAGTATGGGTCAATGGCTTTGTGTTAAATATCCCTAGGAAAACTAAACTAACCAAATCCTGATGGATGTCATTCAATGTGAATTCAAACTGAATTTCAAATTTCAGGCCAAAGTGGTCAAACTGCAAGTATAACTCCGGTAGAGAATTTTTCCAGTTTACTATTTTGACCTTTTTTTAATTTGCTTTGAATTCTCACATTAGTGAATAAACCAGTTAATCTTCTCGCACGTTTCTCCCTTATGAAAGAATCTCTAACTCTGCACATTAAATAAATCTAAACATAAACGTTCAAATTCTATAGCACATTGTGCAAAAAATGGCCAATAAACAAAAGGTATAAACTATATACCTCCAGGCTTGAAACTGAAAGTTCACAAAGAGCAGTGGGAGTTTTTGGAACTACACAGAAGTTGTTTTGGTTCTATTAGATTTCTTTGTCTATTAGAACCATCGAAACCAAAAGAATGTCTCTCTCGGTGAAAAATGTCATAATTATTCTAGATCAGAATTCTACGGCAGAGATTTAAAAAAAAAAACAGGTGCTAAATAAGGAGCAATCACCATGGCAACACAGAATTTGTTTTGGTTTTATTAGATTTCTTTGTCTATTTGAACCATGGAAACCAAAATAATGTCTCTCAGTAAATGTGTATTCAATACACCACTTTGCACCCAAAATAGCACATTGCTTTACCATATCCAGATATTTTATATTTCTCTGCATAACATGGTGACTTTTTATATTTTTTATACCATTTCCTTTTTATTTCAATATGTTGTCCTGAAATAGAAAGTCATCATGTTATGCAGAGAAATATAAAATATCTGGATATGAAAAGGAGCATGGGTGAGATGTACTAAGAGATGTAGAAGGAGATTGATCAAGGTAAATCAATGTGCTATTTGGGTGCAAAGTGGTGTATTGAATACACATTCACTGAGGGACATTCTTTTGGTTTCCATGGTTCAAATAGACAAAGAACTCTAATAAAACCAAAACAAATTCTGTGTTGCCATGGTGATTGCTCCTTATTTAGCACCTGTTTTTTTTTTTTTTTAAATCTCTGCAGTAGAATTCTGATCTAGAATAATTATGACATTTTTCACCAAGAGGAACCTTTACCATTTCACATTATTACAATCTATTACAAAGTGACCACAAGAAAAATCTCATGCACTTTATATCTAATCTGATTTATGTGTCGTAATGTCAGATATTAATTGTATTATATATGATATGTTTTATTTCAATCTATGGTCTATTCAGTTTTATTTAAGGAACACATAATCTCTTGATACATTTGATTTACTATCTGTGTGCAAAGATGAAATTGGGTACAGTGTTTGACATAGACATAGTGTGGAACCTCCCAGCATTATGGGAGGTGTAGACCGTAACATCGGGATGGTCTTTATATATGGTTTGCATAATCCAACCCTGATTGATGCTTTTCCATAACTTTATCGCAGATTTGTTTTGGTAGCTACTAGGTTCCTTTTATATTGTTTGTTTAGATATGTTTGGCATATATTTGTTTAGACAGTCATTGGGACCTTCCACCAACAGGTGTGTTTATTTTAACATTATGACTCACTTTATTGGCACACAGGTAACTATATGATTAGTGAAGTCATTTTGTTTTACCAGAACTAGATGGGTTCAAAGAAATTAGAAGAATATATATATATATATAAAATCACATTATGGTGAAGCATGTATCTTACAAAAAGAGAGAATTGTACTGTCTGAATGGGAGAGAGGGTGAATTAATTGCGGCAGCTTTATACATATATATATGTGTATGTCTGATAATATTGTCCTATAATATTCCTATGTGTTAAGTAGAAAGTGTTTGCTTCAGGTATCTTGCTTTGCTGGGAAGAGGTCTACGAGATCCATAGACAGCCTGTACCTGGGAAGTGAAGACAAACAGAATGACTTACGCTTGGAATTCCAGCTTGCAGACATAACGAGGTATCACTCAGATTACGATAATAATTGAATACTGTGAATTGAATAAAATGAGAGGTGAGAATATTAATAAATACCCTGATCAATAAATAAATACATTAGGTGTATGTAGCACTTACTATAAATATAGGTTACATTACAGTAAGTGGGTGGCCTTATAATAGGGACATACAGATACATTAGAGCAGAAAGCACATGTCCCACAGAGCATACAATCCGAGTGAGAAAAGGAGGCCTACATCGAGGAGAAGGAAGTACAGTCTGTGGCTTCCAGGTTGGGGTTCCGTATTTGCATTGTGGCCTGGTTGGTTTCATAGCTAGGAGTGGCAAGGGAAAAGGTTTTTAGTCTAGATACAATGGCGTTGCTTACACTGATGGATCCAGAGCCTTATCTCGGGAGATTATTTAAAGAAACCATCCAGGCACAATAACCACTACAGCTCTCCTGGAATTTTTCATGTGGATTCTTTACATTGCTCATCTATCTAATGAAATGAATTCCATCCATGAGATTTATTTTTGTTGCTCAGTTTATATTCACAGATAAGGCCTTATGCTGTCAAAAGTTATCAATACCCAAAATACCCCCCCAAAATTATTTCCTCTCCATTGATAGAACAGACATCGTCATCATCTTACCCCAGTGAAATGTCCAATATAAATGGTTTAACATACGTTATATGTTTAGTATATCTACAACTGAGCTATTTGTCCAGCTGAGTATTTGGTTTCCATGCTACTGATGTGTACTAAATGTGTCCCCGTCAAAAAGGCTAAGACCCACTAGTTTAGAGGTTCCTGGGCTTGTACAAGAAAACAGATTTCCAAGATTTTATGTTTTGGTTTTAAGCCTAGAGTTCTTTGTGATGCAAATAAAGGGCTGCTCAGGCAATATCTACAGTAGTTGGAATGCAGGGGCTTTCTGGGCATCATAACCCACAGTGCCTGGTAGATTAAAGGTTGTCTATTGGTGCTGTGATGAGTCCCATACTGCCCGCAGTATTCCTCTACCCATACAGCTTTGTTTGTGCTCCACAGTAACTTGTCCTCCTTTGATTTGCGGACCTTTGATTCGGAAGGCGTTATTTTCTATGGTGATGTTGGCAAGGATAACTGGTTTGTGCTTGGGATACGTGAAAAGAAACTGGAGGTCCAGATGAGCAACAGTCATGGGCAAATGATTCTATCCAAGTGGGGACCTGATGTGAGTGATGGTAAATGGAGAAAGGTAAGATAACATTTATTCATTTTTATATCACAAAACTTCAAATGCCAAGGTGGGCCAAATATGGGCATGGTGCCTTTCCTGGGCATCTCCTAAACATGGTAGCAATCACTGTGATCACAGTGATATTGCTATTTCTGGATGCTTTACTAGTGACATATAATAGAAATAGCTGTGTAGCATAAATTACAAATTGTACACACCATAATCTCTGTACATGCTGTTACTGGAGAGTCCCACTCCTGAGTAACGGGCTGTCTGAGTCATAGGGCCGCTGTCACCACTTGTCACAGCTATCCTATGGCATGACTGACAGCTGATCCCCAGCTGCATCCTGGGATCAGCTGTCAAAATTAAATTAAATTAAATTAGGCAATCCAACACTAGTCCCTGATTGAACCAAAGGCTGACCCATCACCTTAGGAGCCAGTTACAGGAATGATCTGTCTTAAAGGGACACTATAGTCACCAGAAACACTACAGCTTAATGTAGAGGTTCTTGTTTCTACTGCTTGTCCCTGTAAGCATTTTAATGTAAACATTGCCTCTTCAGGCTTTCACTCAGATGGCTCCTAGAGGTGCTTCCTAGTCCAGTGCTGCACAGTGTGAAGCACCTACATTAAGTGTCTCAATGCTCTACATGGAAACAATGAATGTTACCCATAGAGATGCATTGATTCAAATGATCTCTATGAGGAGATGCTGATTGGTGCAGCATGGGAAAAGCATTGGCTTGGCTCAGATCATCAAGATTAAAATCCTAAACATGTGAGGTATTTCGCAATAATCTATTTTGAGGGTTTAAAAAAAAAATCTTTAAAGTTGCACTAGTTGTGTAGAAGTTATTAAGTGCAAAACTGTGAAAAATGTGTACATTTTTCCCCAGCTTTTATTATATATATATATTCAAAAGAAAGCCCTAACTTTCCTTTAAAAAAACCAAAACAAAACGATATACAGCTACTGAGAAGAAAGAAAATTAACATGGAATGAACACATAGCACAAATTTTAACAAGGCCTCAGTCACAAAATGAGGGAAATTTGGAAAATGGCCAGACACCATGGGGTTAAGGTTTCAGCAAGACAATGATCAATTGACAACTACAGGGCACTATGGACGCAACAATGAGATTCAAAAGAACTGTTGCTCTGCTAATGCAATTTACACTGTGTTCTAAAACATTTTCGAGAAGTTACTTGTGCTAGCTTCCTTAATACTGATTATCATCATACGTATCAACTGAAAAATGCTTTGACATGACGTCTAAAATGTTAAACTGAAACATGTTTGTCTAGAATTTCCAAACAGCCTCCATTGCATGACATGTACCTGATCAACTTGTATCTTCTTCTAGGTGTCAGTGGACAGCAGCATCAATACAATTGAAGTGAGAGTAGACGGGGAGGTTGTGGTACAGTTAACACATTACGTCAACACTCAGCATACCCCTGTAAGTGTCTCTACTCTCGTCATCATCCTTGGTGACCTGCCAGAAGAAAGCAACCTACAGCTTTTGAAGCCGGTAAAAGGACTCCACTTAAATCTCTTGAGAGATTGTCGAAACAATGTACCCAAATAATATCAACCTAATTGTAGCCAGCACACTCTAATTCATAGAATTATTATTATTGGTTATTGTTAATAAAGATTATCTTTGTTTATATCATTTACGAGTTGGTGACAATGCAATAATCTCAGACGCGATGCTTAGCACCACAATTCCAGAAGACTCCAGCTCACAACATTCAGGTTTTCTTTAGTTCAATGTCACCAGTATGGCAACATGCATATTTATCCACAGAGGAAGCTTGATAAATCTTGATAAAGACCCAGGAGAGTCGAAACGTTGATTTTGTACTTTAATACACTTTGAAAAATTTCCCAAGGAGTACTCTCTTTATTTACTTTCTACATAAGCGCTGGAAGCACCCAGGTGGTCCCTGTTATAGTGACATATTTTTTTGGGTGAGTCGTGAGTTTGATATATATATATATATATATATATTTTTTTTTTTTTTTTACAAATATAGATGAGGGAAAATGTTCAGTCACAGGCCCACAACACAAAGTATGGTCTATTCTTAACCAGTTATATATAAAATAAACCTCAAACAGCAGGTCCAGGTCATTAAGTACTCTGTCTTATCTCTCTTCAGCTGCAGCCCACCTTGGATGCGTGCATGCGTAACTGGGCCTGGGTGAAAAAGCACACACAAGCTCTGGATATGGCAATGGAGACTGACGAGAACCGTCGTTGCTTTGAAAAGGAAGAGCCGGGCTCATTTTTCCCTGTCCATGGCTATGCCATCTTTAAACCAGACTGTAAGTGTTTTTTTTAGATTGGATAAAAAATGCTTATCTTACATAACTCATTGGAGAGCTGACATCTCAATGGCCAGTGCTTTACCTAGACTGACATCTCAATGGCCAGTGCTTTACCTACTTCACTTTCAGTAGTAGTTTGCTGTCAATAGTAAAATCTGATATTGAAACGTGATGGAAATAGATATTCAAACTGGATAGATTCTCAAGGTTTCTGTATAACAGAAGCGTACCTCCTCGTCCTACTCTCTCTTATGAAATGCATTGGTAAGCTTGTGAAAATACACCTTTATGTAATGTAAATCATCTCACATCTGGTAAATCCCTACAACGTTTAACCCTTTAAGCACCAACAAAGAAATAATTCCTTTATTATACACCAGTTTTTAAATATTTCATATTGAAATTAGGCACTCTTTTATCGAGGCGGGGAATCGTTAGAGCTTAAAACACTTAATTCTGTACTGGCATAGGGTCTTTGTGGGCTAGATGATAATACTGGCATGAAAAATCACTGGTGCTTGATGGGTTAATCTACACCATTAACATTGGGAAGTATGAAAATGGGTCAGGTGGGAGGGTGTTTACAGTGGGCGTCACCAGCTATGCAATTTATATATATCACTGGTGACACCCATAATGAGCCAGCTCACCTGGAAAGTGGACACGTATCCCTACTGAAAGGGTGGTTTAACCTGGCAGGCTGACCCCTAGCCTACAGGACCATGCAGAGAGCCTGCTGAAGTACTTTTTTCATGATGCCAGGGCATGCTGCACTGCACTCCCGCTGTGCTGCCGAGGGACGGTGGAACCAGACCCCATACTCAGGACTCTCATGCCAAACATGGGACCGTTAGCAGCCCTGGTTAATCAACCATGCAAACCCAACTAGTATGCCAGCATTGCCAAATAGCTCTCCCAGGGTTCTCTAAGCTTCTGCCCCACAATCGAATGACTTTCTGATACTGGGATAACCTTGCAACTGGAATTACAAATGATACACAGGAGTTTATTAAAATGTCCCTTGTGCACGGAGCTTCAGAATCTGTTGATGATTTATAATATATTCATGTATTAAATCATAATTAACAATATTTCACGATATATATATGTATGTAGATAGATAGAGCAAAAAGAATCACACTCCAGGGACTTTGTTCAAAGTTAAAGTAAAAATTTACTTTTATTAAATCCATTAAAAATGTCGACATTTCAGCTCCCACATGGAGCTTTTATCAGGACAGACATTATATATATATAAATATGTACACACTTATTTATTTTTTACACTCAATTCTTTCACGAACTTTCTTCCTATAACATGTCATTCTATTTCAGCTAATTAGACTTGGCAAGAATGGCAACTAATACTCATACAAAGGTTTAATTTGATTTTGTTCCTAATGTGTTAGGGGTCAGAATTTAATTTCAATGTGTTTGTTAATAGCTGTTTTCAGTTGTTTTTTTGTAAGCAGAAACATGTTCCTATGTACTCTGTGGTGTCTACACAGTGTTTCAAACATCAGATAATGAAATGTGGGGTCTGTCTGTGAGAGTCTCCTTCCGGGTCAGAGATGGCGGTGGAGTTATATTCTCACTACATGGAGCTGGAAGTTCCACCATACTAACTGTTAACCTGGACTGGCAGAAGCAGGTTATGTAAAGTCTAAGTTCCTTCCTTTCTCTTCACATCATTATCTCCATGTTGTCTTAATGATCTGTATCTACCTCAAGTCTGCCTTTGCTGTCTTCTACCCCTCTCCAATCTCTGCTCTCTACCCCACTGCTGTCTCCGTTATTAACCAATCTCTGATGTCTACCCCACTGCTGTCTCTGCTATTAACCTATCTCTGATGTCTACCCCACTGCTGTCTCTGTTATTAACCAATCTCTGATGTCATTGTCTACCCCACTGCTGTCTCTGCTATTAACCTATCTCTGATGTTTACCCTACTGCTGTCTCTGTTATTAACCAATCTCTGATGTCTACCCCACTGCTGTGTCTGCTATTAACCTATCTCTGATGTTTACCCTACTGCTGTCTCTGTTATTAACCTATCTCTGATGTCTACCCCACTGCTGTGTCTGCTATTAACCTATCTCTGATGTCTACCCCACTGCTGCTCTGCTATTAACCTATCTCTGATGTTTACCCTACTGCTGTCTCTGTTATTAACCTATCTCTGATGTCTACCCCACTGCTGTCTCTGTCCTATCTCTGATGTTTACCCTATGCTGTCTCTGTTATTAACCTATCTCTGATGTTTACCCTACTGCTGTCTCTGTTATTAACCAATCTCTAATGTCTACCCCACTGCTGTGTCTGCTATTAACCTATCTCTGATGTTTACCCTACTGCTGTCTCTGTTATTAACCTATCTCTGATGTCTACCCCACTGCTGTGTCTGCTATTAACCTATATCTGATGTCTACCCCACTGCTGTCTCTGCTATTAACCTATCTCTGATGTTTACCCTACTGCTGTCTCTGCTATTAACCTATCTCTGATGTCTACCCCACTGCTGTCTCTGCTATTAACCTATCTCTGATGTTTACCCTACTGCTGTCTCTGTTATTAACCTATCTCTAATGTCTACCCCACTGCTGTGTCTGCTATTAACCTATCTCTGATGTTTACCCTACTGCTGTCTCTGTTATTAACCTATCTCTGATGTCTACCCCACTGCTGTCTCTGTTATTAACCTATCTCTGATGTTTACCCCACTGCTGTCTCTGCTATTAGCCTATCTCTGATGTCTACCTCACTGCTGTCTCTGCTATCAACCTATCTCTGATGTCTACCTCACTGCTGTCTCTGCTATTAACCTATCTCTGGTGTCTTCCTCACTGCTGTCTCTGCTATTAACCTATCTCTGGTGTCTACCTCACTGCTGTCTCTGCTATTAACCTATCTCTGGTGTCTTCCTCACTGCTGTCTCTGCTATTAAAATATCTCTGATGTCTACCTCACTGCTGCCTGTGCTATTAATCTGTCTCTGATGTCTACCTCACTGCTGTCTCTGCTGTTAACCTATGTCTGATGTCTACCTCACTGCTGTCTCTGCTATTAACCTATGTCTGATGTCTACCTCACTGCTGTCTCTGCTATTAACCTATCTCTGATGTCTACCTCACTGCTGTCTCTGCTATTAACCAATCTCTGATGTCTACCTCACTGCTGTCTCTGCTATTAACTTTGCTGGTCTGCCTTGCTCTTATCTCTCCTGTCTACCTTGTATCGTCTACCTCACTTCTGTCTCTGCTGTCCATCTCAAACCTCACTCTAATGTCTATCTTGCACCTGCTGTTTACCTCACTTCTGCCTAAGCTATCTATCTAGCTGATGTCTCTACTGTCTCTCTCGCCTGTCTCCACTTTCGTTCCTTGCTCCTGTCTCTGCTGTTTACCATGGTGCTGTAATCCTCGCTACTGTCTCTGCTGTTATCCTTGTTCCTGTTTTTCTGTTTATCTCGCTTCTGTTTCTACTGTCTATCTCACTTGTTTCTTGGCTCTCTAACTCACACTTCTTTCTTTATCTTGCTCTGCCAGCTTTATACAGCAAATGGACTTGTGTTATTTATCTGTGGTATGTTCTTCCTCTTGAAAAAAACCATTCTTTACGTTTTTGGATATAATTCTCCTCTAGAAAAAACCCAAGAGAATATACAGGTAACTGAACGACCATTTCATCTATCCACAGATTCTTGCCGTGACTCTGTTCAATAAACTAACAGGTTCTGTGATGTTCCCGGTGGATTTGTGTCCAAGCCACTGGCAGTTTGCAGACATCCTAATCCAATCGAACAAATTGTCCCTGAAGGCAGGAGAGGCTACATCATCTTGGGACATTGTACCTGCTGACCTCAAGGCTTTGGAAGAGAGATGGATAGATCCCGCTGCTGACATTTATATTGGAGGTCTTCCAGGTATATGTTAATTCTATAAATTGCCTTTCCTGGCAGATTTGATTTCAATATATTAAAGCAGTAGAGTAAAGGCTAGGTGCTAAAATGGAATCAAAAATATGTTAACTCGAAATGTGAGCCATTTCGTGGTTAAATCACAAAGACTCATAACCCTCCCTACCCACTTACTGAAAAAGAATCAGCATTTGTTTTAGCTTCCTTTATTGCACATTGTGTTTAATTTAGAATCTGCTGCTTTTTTTTATTGGACAATAGGTAAATTTTCTCAGTGCCGGTATAATACATACTTCCTGTCTTTCCATAGATAATTCTGCCAAAGAAGCATCACATTTCTCTGGATGTTTGAAGATAACTCTTCAAGGCAAAGTTATAGATCTGGACAAAGCTCATTATAAACATCCACATGTGCGTAGCCACAGCTGTCCTGTGGGGATATAGGGAAGATCTCACAACCTTCATGTACATATTAAAAAGTAACAAGTTGTATTTACAGCACTATGTCTGAATGAGTTTCCAACTTACTTTTAGACATGGAGCTTTGTTATTGTAGCGCAATTTGTAACGGGATAATTGTTGACCGCCATCTTGGCACACACACACACATTATAACCATTAAATCCAGTTATCACAGGGACTAGCCGACTGGCTATCATCAAGCTAGAGGTAAGAAGCTATACTCGTTGCATTAAGAAGACTATGAATCTTCGGGATGCATTAATAGAACTAAAATATAAACGCAAGTCATATGAAAGAACATCATTTGAAACCTGAGAAATAAATATAAATAATGTACATAATCACATGTAGCTGGGGGAGAGCTATTCTCCACATTGTGGTGCTATCCTATTAAAGGAACCATATGGGCACCATAACAACTTAATCAAAATTAAGCCGTTATGGTGCCCAGAGGTTAAGGGTGCTTTTTTTTTTTTACCGTAAAGGGGTTAAACTGGTCTTGAATTTTAAAAGTTGATCAGCAGATATCTCTTTCCCCAGCAGCATCTGGTTTCATCAATTGAGTTTCAGGAAATGCAAAGTGCCGCTGGGCAGTAGCGCTGCTAATTGGCTAGAGTGGTCAGCTAATGCTCCATTCATAAAACATTACTTGGAGAGCAAACCCTTACCCCTTCAGGTAAGCCAATGCTAGCGACCTCTGGGAACAATAATAACTTAATTTAAATTAAGTTGCTATGGTGCCCATACAGTTCCTTTAAATCCTGACAGTTTTTCCTGATAAATTTTTGCGCATGAGCAAAAAAACATGAAACATTTAATATACAAAGCCTACCAATATTCATCACTTGCTTAGCTACCGTAGCGTATGAAAAAGGTTTCCTATAGACAAAGTAATACCTACTATGTCTTGTATATCTCCATGGAGCTTTTTTTCTAAATGGTCACAGCCAAATTACTATCTTTGAAGTTTGTTTTCCTGGCACAATAGTGGTCAATTAAGTGTAATGAACAAACTAAGATGAATTTAACAAAACAAAAAAAAAACACACTGGGGAATAGAGGAACATGATAATTCTATTTTCTTTTTAAATAAAACCTGCAACATGACCGTGTTGCTCTAAACCTGATTGGCAGCCACAATGTTTGAATCACTGCATGTTTGTGAAGATCTACATAAATCATGTAGGGGGTCAGCTTGGACAGTACCCAAGAATATTTATATTGGTAATACATAGAAATTTATTATTATTAAAGTAGAACAATCACTAAGAAAATATGCAGAAATATGGTGATTTCACCAGTTTTACAACTTTGCCAAACTCTTCCATTAGGAATACAAATATCCATCCCTCTCCCAAAGACTCAGGCTATTCTTAATTCTGGGAAGAAATCCACAATCGATATGTAATCACATCGAATTCTAGCGTTGTGACATGGTAACAATAATGGTATTAATTTTTAAAATACTTTATTTTATTTATAAAATGAATTACATCAAAAGAAGTAAATTCTATATATTATATATATAACATACTTGTCAGTGTTTGCGGATTGATATAGCCAGCAAGTATGTATTGAAAAACAGTCTGTGTGAGGTCATCTTAGCTACTTTAGGCCAGATTTTCATTTTTATCTACAGTAAATGTGTCCCTTGTCTTTGGTGGTAGATTTATAAATGAATACATTTATTTTAAAAAATGTAAAGGAAATAACTAGATAGGCATATTGTACATCTCCTACCCCCGAAGTTAACAGTGCATAGTTAAAGTAGACTTTAGCTTTTAAACCATGTTTGTATTGCAAAAAGTCAAAACACAAACTATACGCGGTTTAAATCTCCAGTTATCCTTGCAAACATTATTTAGATATACCAATATATTGGCTATGAAATATTATGCTTTAAGACAAATGACATTTAAACTCTGTACTAACTATGCATTTTCTTACAATAAAGTTGTGTTTAATACATGAAACTTTCTTTGTATCAATTATTGATGATGTAAGTGATTATTATTATTTTTTAAATATTGCAATGATTTAATATTTCTGAAAACCATTTTACATGAGTATTGGTATCATATTAAAGGGACACTCTAGACCGCTAAAGCACTTCAGCTGAGTGGAACTAAACTCTACCTGCCTTGCAAATACATCTAATTGAGCTGCATTGGGAGGTCTGTGATTGGACAGTCACAGAAAGTCTGGGTTGGGTTGGAATGGGAGGGCTTGCAAAGGCTTCAGACAAGAGATCTGTAGCTGTTGCAAGCTGTTTTCAGATATACCTCCAATGAAAAAATGCATAGTTAAGTACATGCATGTTTTCATTGTGGGTAGATCTAATAAAACAGTGATGTTTGTTTTTGTTTGGGCAGTGGAGTTTCCCTTTAATGACACAGAATAATTGATTCTTATATAACATATACATGTTTATTCATTCACTACATTTGTGATCAATTTAAAATCTCTTGCATTCTTACAGAAAACAGAAACTAAACTAAAGTTAAATTATTATAGATCAATACACTTTACATTTTATTCTTTTTTTTTTTTTTTGTCAACCACATTTTTTGTATTGATATTCTTTTTTGAAAGATTCAATAATTTGAAATGAGTTGTTTGAATTATGCTCATAGCAAAGTGAATCTGCCATCCATAAAATATGTGAATTTCGGGCAAGTATTAAAATGGAATATATTCACAATGCTAATAAAATCACTAGCTAATCTAATCATTTTAAATGTTACACTTGCATAAGGTTTGTTTTCTGCACTGTTGTTGTGAAACATGAGGGACACATTTTGGTGAAAATTACTCTGATTATAATGCATTATACATTAAGAATATATATTATTATATTAACATATTTATAATGCGTAAAAAGGGTAGCCTAAGCACCATAACCACTAAATTGTTCTTCAGTGGCTATGGTGCCATAAATCTCCTGCCACTGCCTCACTGTAAGCAGTCAAACCATTTTTAAAAAAAAATTTAAAATTCTTTATTTGTGGTTCGTTTTACATTTTACAGTTTGTGGGGTGTGGGTTACAGAAGAGAAAGTAGAATGGGTGGAGAAAGGTGAAGCACAGTTGTACCGTTTTTTTTTTTTTTCCTCCTTTTCAAGTCTCATATAATCATCTGCTACACACATAGATATAACAATATTTTTGAGGCTGGGTTCTACAGTTTTCAAGGCTAAACCGAGAGCTAAATCATTGAAACCCTGTTTTCTTTACAGTTGCATGGGCAAGAGATAGTGTAGATTGTTAGGCCATGTTGGTCTTTCTATGTTACGTATCTCTGTCATACGGAGTATTGTTGTGGTGGCTTTGTCAGATTCCTGGTATAGGAGTCTAGTGTCCTTCAGTGTAGTGTTATCTCTTAGCCTGATCGCTGGTTGGCTCTTGGTGTTTTGTCGCAATGGGGTTTCGTGTGCTTTGAGGTGTGTGTGCGTCAGATGGTCAGGGTCTGATTTCTGTCGATCTTGTGCAGTGGTGGGGTGGGGGTAGGTGGAGAGATAGGTTTCAGGGGGAGGGGCGTCGATGGGTGGGTAGTTGAAGTTCGCCGCAGCAGGGTGCCCCAACCGTTGGGTAGGGCAGGATAATGTGATGTTAAGGACTGAGGAAAGCTATGTTGGGAATATATTCTTTAGCAGGTATTTTGCTGGGTCGTCTCTGTTTTGTTGGACTTGGGGTGCTTGCTGTAGTGCTTGTTGTGTTTGTGTTTATCAGGGTAGGGAGATGTCTCCTTCCATCCATGGGTCCCATATATTGTGGAAGTGTTTGGGTGTGTCGTGGAGGTGGAATGTGACCCTATCCATTTGTATGCTATTCTGTATTTTTTGGGCAATGCTCGTTTGTGATGGTATGCGGGTGGTTGACCATAGTTCCGCTATCGCCCGTCAGTCAAACCATTTTAAAACAGTTTGACACTTACCTTGGTCCTCCAAATGTCTAATCCCACATAGCTGAGATTACTTCTGCAAGTCTTTGGATGGAGATACGTGAATTCCATCGTAACAGTGATGATAGTGTTGGTTAAGGGACTTTCACTTTAGACATATCTAAAGAAGCGGTTGGACTGGAGATGCTCAAGGAACCCAGACAAGTGTCAAACTGCTCAAACACAGAACCAGCAAGATCTTTTATACCAACACCACTATTGGCTTTAATTACTACACTGGTACATCACTAGAACACAACCTACAAACAGACTAACCCAGGTAGAGGAAGAGGATATTTTGTAACTATAGATTTGCTGTTGATTTTGACAGCACAATGTATGGATTAAATGTATACCTTCTTAAAGGTACAATTACAGCCCCTAATATTTAATTAGGAAAGAATATTTGCATTAGACAAATAACTTGTGCAACTTCTCAGGGTAGATTACATGTTTTTCTGTGCAAATATATATTTTCAGCATTATGCAACATGTTGAGATCAGCGTTTCTGTAAAAAAATAAAACAATTTATTAATATCTAAATCAGACTACACGAAATGTACAATTAGCTGGAGTTGTAAACTATTAAAGGGACACACCAAGTACCACAACAACTTACATGTCATTCGTGTGCATCCTCTGTGCTACTTGCATATGTTTGTATAGGAGAGCACAGACTCGCTAGCTAATTATCAGCTAATTAATTGTTGCTTCGGAAAAAAGATCCTCTACAGTATGAATTGTCAGGACGTCAAAGTAAATTTAAATATTTATGCCAAGATAGCGAAAATGAAAGAATCCTCTAAGTGAACTTTGTTTTCAATTCTGTTAGTTTGGCGTAGCATTTCACCCTGAATTCACAACAATTCACACTTTATTCAATAACACTGTGAGCGACTTGCAAACTGCAATCTTAGCAGACTATTATTTGTTTTAATTCTTTGCATATTTGTAATACATTATCTACAAAATTGAGTCTGTCCATGAGTGTCTCTTTAACTTAATTTGTTCAGAATCAAGATAGCAAACATTAATTAACTGTTCTGGTTGCAATGACCCCAGTCCTGCCAGGCCAGAACAATACAGCATTCCTCATTAAATAAGATGACTTAGCATGCACAGATCAAAGTTCTCAAGCGTTGCTGCCATCAGCCATCAGCACTAAAAATTAAATGAATGCTGTTTAAGGTAATTCTCAACACCAAAACCACTACAGCTTAATGTGTTGCTCCTGGTGCAAATAGACTGTCCCTCCAACTGCAGCCGTATACATTCTGTCTTTTCTCAAAGGCTGTGTTCACATTGCTAGCTAGGGACACCTCTAGTGGATATCACTTACACATTTACTCCCTGTTCTTTCCTCAAAACCTCCTTCTCTCTTTTTCAGTGTCTCTCACTATCTCTCCCTTTCTAATAACCCTCTCTTCCCCTTTTCCATATCTCTCTCTACTCCCATTTCTTATTCAATTTAATAAACCCTCTTGTGTTTTCCCACACTGCCACTACCCACGCAGAATGTTAGTGTTGAGGCTATACAGGGATAAATGTTCTGCACTGACTGCAGACAACTCAACCATGGTACAACAGTAACAATCAGGGAGTGGAATAGCAGGGGGTGCGCACACAGCTGAGCCCCTTACAGAAAAACTGCAGTGGGCCTATGGCTGAAAATCTCGTAGTACAGACCCCAAAATCTAAGGTCCTTGGTTCATAACTGATGTGTCCCAGTGCTTTTTACCCCTGGTAGATTACCTGTCTTGCAATACTCAGAATGGGATCGCAAAATGATGGCATTTGTGTCTATTTTTGTCTATACACTACAACCTCTACCTTTAAAAACTACAACTGTAGCCAGTAATACAGGCCCAACTTTACTAACCAAGACGTGTTCTCATGTGTGACTGACCTCGACCAACTGATTCCCATGTAAGGTTTCATTTTTAAACAGATGTCACTTTAAAACCGAACTTTTTTAAGATTTCTGTAAAAACCTATTTTATTTAAAAGGGTACATTGAGATTTAGGATAGTGTCCAGTAAACCTATTTTGGTTTATTAACCCATTAAGGACACAACTTCTGGAATAAAAGGGAATCATGACGGAATATTTCCATCATGTGTCCTTAAGGGGTTAAAAACATGAATAATGTTAATTTCCTTTTAAGTTTAATTATTTAATTACCTTTTTTTTCCTTTTCTTTTTTGAGACTTTAAGTTTCCCACTTTGTTTTAGTATTTCTTTGAAGATGGCTGCAGGAATTTGTTCTATTACTCTAATTTTCAAACGTGGAAGCTTTCCTAAAGAAGAAGGGTGAAAATATAACAGATGTACTCAGTAAAATATTGATATCTTCATATATAAGCCTCCATATATTAATTTTGGATACATTTTGAAAAAAAATATTTTTTTTTACAATATTAAATTAAATATATAAAATATTAATATTAAAATATCAAAACATATATCACATATATCAATATATAAATATTAAAATATTTTTAAAAATGAAATAATTTGAAAAGTGTATCCAAAAAATATGAAATTATTTGAAAAGCTTATACAAAAATATTAAATCAGGGCCATAGTCATTTGTTAAGAAATACTAACCACATTGGCATTCACGATTATAATCTATTTTGTTTTTGTTAAATATTAACCTTTACATTTACTCACATGTGTTTATATCCCATAATACCTGTTTATAGAACATACCTGTTTTAGGAAGTACAATTTCACAATATATATAGGATTTGCAAAATGCTATAGCAGCTACCATATACCCTGTAATGTGTTAAATCTGTTTACATCTGACCTGGTTGTTGGAATGCACCAATAAAGTTTATCCATAAAAACTTCCCTGCTGTGGCCTCGATTTAATAAGCTTTCCAAATTATATCTTACTGCTAGAAATGCTTTCCAAATGATTTAGCTATTCTTATAGACTTTAATTGTGACTTCTGTAGATAAATCCTTTGGAAATTTTATCTGCCTGTATTGAATCATTTGAAAAGCGTATTAAATCAAGGCCTATGGAGGAGTAGAGAAGTCTAGGCAGCCATTGCTCTGAATGGAGCCCAGACACAAATTGATTCCCTAATGCGGAATTGCCATATTTAAGGGTACCATTACCAAATTAGGAAGCTGCGTTTAGTTGATAGCTCCCTAATTTGGTTTCATTAAAGGCGGTTCGACATGGTCAGGGTAGTAGAAGAATGTATGTGCAGTGTTTTAGCTTGAGACAGAAGAAAGGGAAGAGGGCTGGGGCTTGATGCCTGGCTCAGAAGGGTGGTAGGAGCTATTTGTTACATTGATACTTTATCAAATTAATTTAATTTGCCTGCAAATTTCTGAAATGTGGTGTGTCTGAACTGCAAGAGGTGTCTGTGAAATGCATGGTGTGGTGTATACTGCATGGTGTGTGTCTGTGTACTTTATGGACTGTGTGTTTGTGTACTTTATGGACTGTGTGTGTACTGCATGGAGTGTGTCTGTGTACTTTATGGACTGTGTGTTTGTGTACTTTATGGACTGTGTGTGTACTGCATGGAGTGTGTCTGTGTACTTTATGGACTGTGTGTTTGTGTACTTTATGGACTGGGTGAGTACTGCATGGAGTGTGTCTGTGTACTGTATGGATTGTGTCTGTACTGCATGGTGTCTGTCTGTGTACTTTATGGATTGTGTGTGTACTGTATGGAGTGTGTCTGTGTACTTTATGGAATGTGTATGTGTACTTTATGGACTGTGTGTGTACTGCATGGAGTGTGTCTGTGTACTTTATGGACTGTGTGTGTACTGTATGGAATGTATCTGAACTGCATAGAGTGGAGTGTGTCTGTGAATTGCACAGATGGTGGAAATTTCTGCCATGCACAAGTCTAATACTTTTTCTAAATAAAACATTCCTGCCCTAAAAGTTCTGGTTTTTTTTCTTTATGGCCCCTACACCAGACTAGGTGGCTGAAAGTGATATAACGTGTTAAATAAAAAGTGCTCATGTAAAATAGCATTCATGGTTTACCCAACAAAGTGATATTCTCCCACCTGTTAAAAGAACTGATAGACAAGGGAGAGCAGAGACCCCCCACAGGCAGTCCATGTGCTCTGCAAGCACAGAAAACACATCACATGCACTGTGGTTTCTTTGGTAACCCCTTAGTTGGTAACACTGACTATGGCAGCTAACCTTGGCACTCCAGATATTGTGGACTACATCTACCCTGATGCTTTGCCAGTATTCTGACTGTAAAAGCATTATGGGAGATGTAGTCCCCAACATTTGAAGTGTTGAAGGTTGCCTAGCTCTGGAAGGAGTATAGGAATGGAGAGACTCTGATCAGATAACGGAATGCTGGCAATGAAGCCAGTGTCACAAAGGAGATTTGCCCTACTTGGGGAACCCTACCTAAGAAAAGCAAATGACAGGAGAGTGAAGGCAGAGCACAGGAGGACCAGAGGTGGGTATTACAAAACAAAAAACATCCATGAAGGTGAGAACATGATTGCACTAGATGGCAGCTGAGCTGAGTTAGTATTTGAATATTTTGCATTGAATACAGGTATATCTGTGATACATGATGTAGTCAGTGCATTTGGGGAGGATTGACATTAAAGTTACGCTGTCAGAACAGGTTCACTTTAAATACAATCAATCACCCTGGTATTTGATCGCCTTGCTAATGTGTTAATAACAATAAAATACTTGTATTCCTTTCGGTCAGTGCTTCCAGGATATCATTGGCTGCTAGTTGGCCCAAGCAGTTGTCATCCAGGTTGAGTTCTGAGAGCTGCTCCGAGTAGCGGATAAGACTGGAATAAAGAAAACAATATAGAAGATCACAACAGATCTCTCATTCTTTATATCCATTCATTTAGTTAACGCTAATCTTTCCTTTTTTTACTTAGCCCTCCTTTCCCTGCTAATGGTTTCTGTACAACATATTAAGTTGTGATTGAACTTACACATCTATGGCCCCTGACAGTTTTAGAAACTTACACCAGTACTCTGCTAAAAATACAATACAGTAGGGAGTGATGTCACACTATGAAACAAATGCCACCATTTCTATTTAAAGACCTCTGATATATGTCTTTCGACAAGGTAGCTATCAGTCCTGCAGGCCCTAATAATAGTGTGTGCTAGGTTCTACTGCGACATAACCATCAGATATCTTCTTACAACAAGGACAAGTGGCACAGAAGCAGAAAAACATAGCTAACGTTTGGCAATGACTTGATGGTCACTGTAAGTACAGTCCATTCACACTTCAGTTAAAAGTCCAGCCAGTATAAAATACATAGTCTATAGAAAGACACCAAAGAACAATGGGATCCAGAAGGATATTCTAGGTAAAAACACGATATAATGGGATATACTTACAAAATATAACTAGCTGAGTAACATTCATCAAATTACAAGGTGAATGTATTGACATGGTCTGTTACAGTACATACAATGAATCCCCCACCCGTTGTTGCAAGGGGTAACACAGAATCCTATGATTATCGAGCGCTCACCAGCTCAGTAACTGGGTAAATTCAAGCACTCGGATTTCTCCTTCTTTTCCTCTTGAATCAATCCCATTATCAGCCAGATGGAGCTTGCTCACCCATGGCCCTGGCACACAGATAGTTTTTTGCTTCTTCTTTCCTAGAAGTTATTACAAGTTATGAACAATCTGTTGTTGACATCCTTTGTTTGCTGCTTGTCCTTAACTGCCCCGGGAGAGACATTCCAATACACACAAGGAATGAGATGAACAGAGTCGAAAAAAAGTATTACAATAAACTGCATGAACAATGAACATGTACAAAGACAACATCTGACATAGTATGTGAAGGAATAGCTTGAAGCACAAAGGAAAATATACAGCATGGTAACACTCACAGCCTTATTGTGATTTGAGAGAGCTGAATTTAAAAGGAAGGGTATAGAGCACTGCAGGAGGACACAGTATGTTTTCAATTCTTCACCTCACAGACAAAACTAAGGCCAAATTAGTTGTTTCGAAAAAATGATCCAATATATCTATAGGCATGGCTTGACTGTTTTGGCCTCAAATGGATACTATAGGCTCCCAGACCACTTCAGCTTATTGAAGTGATCTGGGTGCAGTGTCCCTTTCCCTTTAACTCCGCAATGCAAAACATCACAATTTTAGAGAAACTGCAATGTTTACACCGCAGGGTTAAGATTGCCTCTAGTGGCTATCTATCACACAGCCACTGGTGGTGCTTCCAGAAGGTTCATGGAGAAACAACACTGGAAGTCCTCACACTTTGAAACACCCCATCGTCATGAAAACCCCATAGGAAATCATTCCTTCAATGAAAATGTGCATTAGGTTTCCAGACCACCTGGACATTGGTCGAGTAGGTCCCCAATCCATTGGCGATGGACATTGGCACTGGAGTCGGATAAGTGAAAATAGGGTTTTTAACCATTTATTTGCTAGTGGGGAGGGGTTGTGGAGGCAGAGGGGTACTTCAGTGTTAGGAATACAGATTTGTATTCCTAACACTATTGCATTCCTTCAGTTTAGCAATTCAGATTTTAATTTACAACAATCTGTAGTTTCGAGAATAACGCCATTAGCTATTTGTTTTAAGAGTGGAATTACAGGTTAAAAAGGATAATTGTGAACTCTGAGAGATTTAAAAAAACAGTATTTGAAATCAATAATCAATTGGACAGTTATATAATTGAAAACGGATTCCTTATTTATCTTGGTTTAAATTGTAAATGTAAGTATTGTTAGATTTATGAACTAATAGCATCAAAGAAGATCATCGGTTAAAACAGTTTTCATTATTTTTGTTTAAAATTTTTATTAGTATTCAACTTGATCAGTGGAAGTAAAGACAGTAAATAAAAAAAATTCAAAACAAAACACCTCTTAAAGGAACACTACAGTATCTAGTTTACTGGTTTAATTTTCCCCTGCTGTGTGAGGGTTGGAAGTGTGAGTTTTACTTACCTTACAGCCCTCGCCCTCTCAGTCTCCGCAGGCAAGCACTGTCTCCTTGGCTGAGATCATCAAGATTGAAGATCTCAGCCAACCCAATGCTTTTCCATACAAAGAAATGGGAGGCTAAGGCACATGTGCAGCAAAACTAACGTGCACTAGTCTCTATGAGACCATCTGATTAAAGTTGCAGAGTTTTACTCAGCTATTTTATCAGAAGTGCCTTTAGTGGTTGTAAGGGTAGCAGGTACTAGAGGCCTTTAAAACCAACAATGTAAACATTTACCATTCCTGCAGAACAGCAATGCTTTCACTTGCAGGGAATACTTTCATGGCACCCCAAACCACTTCATTAAGATAAAATGGCCTGGGTGCCTAAAGGGTCACTTTAATCATAGACAGACATCCTGATATTCAAGCACAGCACCAAAAATATGGGAAACACAAAGAAGGATACCGGTAACAGTGGAACCTGGTGCACAGCTAGTGAAACCAGAGGATTTATATCACCAAAACAAGTATTCTAGAACTTAAGGCTTGTACAGGAGTCTAGACTGTTAAGAAGCACTTACTTGATGGTAAAATTAATTCACTGGTACCCACTTCCTCTGTTCTAGACATGATGAAAACAGCAATCATTGGGTTATGGTCCCGCGGTGTACCTAACATGGTCACAGGGGTCCTCACTGCAGGGGGCTCGGCCATAGCCACGACCCCTGTTACAGTGGGCCGCCTAGATGCCGCCTCCTGCGTGTTCCCCCTGTCATAGGGGGGCCCAAGAGGTGGCCTGCTGGCCACCCAATGGACCCCCCAGCGGGCGGCAGAGTTCCTGTCAGACGCGGCGAGGAAGCTGTGTTCTCTCTGCTCTGCTCCCTCGCGCGCCGTTTGCTGATTCTCGGGAGCCGGAATATGATGTCATATTTTGGCTCCCGGCATTAGTAGACAGCCAGCGAGGGAGCAGAGCAGAGAGAACACAGCTCCCTCGCCGCGTCTGACAGGAACTCTGCCGCCCGCTGCACTGAAGCCCCACTGGACCCCAGGGACAGATCCATGCCAGCTCTCCAGGTAGGAAGGCTGGGTGGACATTTAATATTAATAATTTGTGTGTGTCTGAATGTGTGTGTGTCTGAATGTGTCTGTAAGTGTATGTGTGTGTCTGAATGTGTGTGTATGTATTTGTCTGTGAGTGTGTGTCTGAAAGTGTATGTGTCTGTAAGTGTATGTGTGTCTCAGTGTGTGTCTGTGAGTGTGTGTGTGTCTGTAAGTGTATGTGTGTCTGAGTGTATGTGTGTGTCTGTGTATGTGTGTGTCTGTGAGTGTACGTGTGTATATGTCTGAGTATGTGTATATGAGTGAATGTGTGTGTGTGTTTCTGAGTGATTGTGTATGCCTGTCAGTATGTGTGTGTGAGTCAGTGATTGTTTGTGTAAAATCAGTGTGTGTATGTCAGTGTATCTGAGAGTGTGTCTGTCAGTCAAAATGTGTGTTAGTCGTTTAACATGAAGAGGTGTGGCATTGACAGGAAGGGGTGGGGCAAATGTAAATTAGGGGGTGCCCGAGTTCCGTCATGCCTAGGGCAGCACAGGTACTAAATACATCACTGATATGTAGGGGGGAGCGGGACGTGTGGGGTAGGAGGTAGATGTATGGGGGGGGGGGCCCAGGGCAATTTTCGGCCTGTGGTTTCTAGTTACGCCTCTGGCTATGGTTCTTAAATTATGTTGAAATTAATTCTACATTGATTACCTTTTCTTTTGCCCTTCTTTTTTCCAATGCTCTTTCCCAGTTTATTTTCAGGTTGAGCTGTATTTGCAGAGTGTCCAGAGACTGCTGTGTGAATGCCAACACTTTGATCTGCTGCTCAGAAAGAAAGAGTCAGTGATACATAACATATTGATATATATATACACAAAGTGTGTTAGGTAGTTAAACATGCACTAAACGTGGACTGGTAAGTGTTTATCTCAGGTTAAACTTTCTCCAGGACAGAAAATCAGTATAATGCTTCCTAAATACTCCTTAAACTATAAGAGGGGTAAAATGCAATGGGCAGCTGCTTCTTCCAAATCCCAGAATACGCAATGTTACTCTAGGTTGCAGGGCCGCCATCAGGGGGTGACAACCATAACGGTTGTCACAGGCCCGGCGGCCGTGGGGGGCCCGGCCGCCCGGGCCCCACATGTGGGGCCCATCGGGTGGCCCACACACTTAGGGCCACCCAATGGGCCCTATATCTTCAGTGGCCCGATCAGCGCTGTGGCCGCAACCGGGCCCCTTTAAAAAAAAGAAAAAAGCCTCAAGTGCTGCTGGGAGGAAGTAGTCACTTCCTCCCAGCCCACTCCGCGCGGGAGGAGCTCGCGTGCCGGTGAAGAGGGAGCCGCGCCGACTCCCATCATCCCCAGCCACCCTCCTGCAAAGAAAAGGTAAGAGACAGGAGGATGGCTGGAAAATGAGCTTTGTGTGTGTGTATGCATGTCTGTCTGTGTATGTATGTCTATGTATGTCTGTCTGTCTGTGTATGTATGTCTGTCTGTATGCATGTATGTCTATGTATGTATGTATATGTATGTCTGTCTGTATGCATGCATGCATGCCTGTGTGTGTCTGTATGTATGTGTATGTCTGTCTGTAGGCATGCATGTATGTCTATGTATGTATGTGTGTATGTATGTCTGTCTCTGTATGTATGTCTGTCTGTCTGCATGTAAGTATGTATGTCTGTGTGTATGTCTATGTTTGTCTGTCTGACTGTATGCATGTATGTCTGTATGCATGTATGTCTATGTCTGTCTGTATGCATGTATGTCTGTCTGTGTCTGTCTGTCTGCATGCATGTCTGTGTGTGTCTGTATGTATGTGTATGTCTGTAGGCATGCATGTATATGTATGTATGTCTGTCTGTGTATGTGTGTCTGTCTCTGTATGTCTGTCTGTCTGTATGCATGTATGTCTATGTATGTATGTCTATGTATGTATGTATGCGTGTATGTCTATGTTTGTCTGTCTGACTGTATGCATGCATGTATGTGTATGTCTGTATGTATGTATGCATGCATGTATGTCTATGGATGTATGTATGTCTGTATGCATGTATGTCTGTCTGTATGTATGTCTATGTATATATATATGTATGTCTGTATGTCAGTATGAATGTATGCCTGCATATCATTATGAACGTATGTCTGTGTGTATGTGTGTATGGATGTCTGTATGCATGTATGTCTGTCAGTATGTCTGTATATATGCATGTATGTCAGTCTGAATGTATGTATGTATGTCTGTATGCCATTATGAATGTATGTCTGTTTATGTCTGTATGTGTGTATGGATGACAGTGTCTGTATGTCTGTCAGTATGTCTGTGTGTGTGTATGTATGTCGGTGTCTGTATGTATGTATGTGTCTTTATGTCCTCATGCATGTGTGTCTGTATGTATGTTAGTATGTGTCTGTCTGTCACTATGTATGCCTGTGTGTATGTCTCAGTATGTATGCCTGTATGCGTGTATGTCTGTTTCAGTATGTGTGTCTGTTAGTATGTATCTCTGTCTTTTTGTATCAGTGTGTGTGTGTTTGTGTCTGTGTGTGTATTCCTGTGGGCGGTATTTGGAGGCGGACCCAGTGGGCGGTATTTGGAGGCGGGCCCCAGGGGGCCCAGACCCTGAGCTGAGTTAGGGGCCCCAAAATTTCTGGTGGCGGCCCTGCTAGGTTGTGAATCTTGGGTCCATCAAAGTTAGTGCATTGTAATTATTATTATTGACATTTATATAGAGCCAACTTATACTGCAACGCTTTACAATATTATAAAGCGAAATTTAACAATAAATGAGACTATTACAAAATGTTAGAGGAACAATAGGTAGATGAGGACCCTGCTCAAACAAGATTAAAGTCTAGAGGCATGAGGACAAACAGAAGATTGATGGGCCTTATATAGTAAGTAGTGAGCACTCACATCCCTCCCGGAATTCGGATGCATAATCCAGTTCAAAAGATATTGTTACTAATGAGAGTTTTGCACAACTAACTATACGTTAGGTATAGGTTGTGCTGTTTATTTCTTAAACACCTCACTAGTTTTTATTTAAATTAACTTTACATGCAGTGCTGGGCACGGAATTTAAATTAGTTTAATATATTCATTCACATGTGCATTTAAGGCACCGTTGATGGAATGTGCACACATGGTGTTTCTGCGTAGATGTCTGAGTGAGCGTGAGGACAACATGAGTCATCATGGGGTGCGAAAGTCTCCTGTAATGCGGGGGTGCATCTGCAGTATATGATTTTTCTTTTACTACATTCCACTGGTTTTTCCCTCTGCTACAGTGATTATTGCAGTGACAGAACAAAGAACTGTCACTTTTAGGGTCACTGCTGGGTCTTTTGCTCTTTGTATGTTGGCACAAGGAATGTCAGTGTCTTCGACAAAGCTGCCGGGGGATTGCCAAAATAGAGTGCATTGACACCATTTTACTTCCTTGTCCCCATAGACATGCGAAGATATTTTGTTTAAGAAAAATAGAGAAATCTTACCTTCCAGGATCTGATGGGCCAGATTAGTGGCCGCATCCACTTTCTCCTCTGAAACCTGGCTCTGGGCATACTCTGCAATAACTGTAATAAGATCCACAGCCCCAGAACATTCCAAGTAATTTCCATCCAGGTACAGTTCACTACAATAATAAAAGTTTATCCTGATGTGGATGTACAGTATACAACACCACTTGGGTAAAGGAAATGCAATACTGAGTGCATTAAATCTAGAGCTCCTTATACTTATTTAAAGTGGCCTTGTCACCTCAAACTTACCTTTCTCCGATTGTTTCCTCTTCTCTTCCTATTTCCCAATCTGTTCTTCTTTTCTTCACTTCTGATCTATTTCTCTTTAAAACATAGGACAAAGTAGAGACTACTTTGTCTTTTGTCTTTACGCTTGACAATTGTGAAAAATGGATGGAGCTTAAGGCAAGCTCCACTTCCTTTGGCAAGCTAACTTTCCTACAAAACTCACCTCTATCCTTTTCTTCGTCATTTGCAAGATTTGCAAGCGCTGCGCATGCCCATTTCCATTTTAATCACTGTGGCTTACTGGGCATGCGTGGCTACAGACGTCTCCAAAGTGTCCCCTGTCGTATACTGTGGGCAAGAGAAGGCAATGATGTTATCTTACATCACTGCCAGCAATTAGAAGATAGCTAACGGATAAAGAAACTGCTTGAGAAGGAGATCTGTTTAATCTTTTGCAATATACCAAAGGGAAACAAATACTGGAATACATCAGGGTTTTCAAATTTAATTGATCATTGTCATGCTGTTTCCTCATTGTATGTGTCAGATATGCAGCATTAAAGGATCACTATAGGGTCAGGAAAACAAACCCTATAGTGTTAAAACCACCATCTAGCCCCCCTGGGCCCCGCATGCCTCCATAAATATAGTAAAATCTTACTGTATTCAAGCTTGAAGTTGTAACTCTGCATGCTGTTAGACTCAGAAAAACAAGCAGTCTGTTAACATCATCATTAGTGGTAGCCTGATCCAATAACAATGCTTCTCCATAGGATTGGCTGAGACTGACAAAGAGGCAGATCAGGGGCAGAGCCAGCATGATTCAAACACAGCCCTGGCCAATCAGCATCGCCTTATAGAGATGGATTGAATCAATGAATCTCTATGAGGAAAGTTCAGTGTCTGCATGCAGAGGGAGGAGACACTGAATGTTTGGATGCATTTTAGGCAGCCATGACCCAGGAAGGATCTGTAACAGCTATCTGAGGAGTGGCCAGTGGGGTTATCACTAGGCTGTAATTTAAACACTGCATTTTCTCTGAAAAGACCGTGTTTACAGCAAAAAGCCTGAAGGTAATGATTCTACTCACCAGAACAAATTCAATAAGCTGTAGTTGTTCTGGTGACTATAGTGTCCCTTTAACATCCTTTCCATATATAAATATATACAGTCACTCAAAGTAAATATTATAGAAATGCATTACCTTACAGCTGTCTCTGCTAGCACATTGCCAAGCAGCTTCCCGCTGGTAGGACCTAAGTTACAGTAACACAGACTTAGAGATACCACCTTCTTGTTTCCTTCAAGCCCATCAACCAGGCCTTGGACCCCTTCATCGTGCAAACTAAAAAACACAACAAAATATTCTGGATGGGCTGAAATAAATTGTTATAAAAATTACTAAACAGTGATAACTCTTATTAAGTTCTATAAGTTGTACCATAACTACCATACAAGAAGTAATAACTCAAAACATTTCTGTACCATTAGTTCACTTTGATCAGCAAATAAAGGGACACTATAGTCATCAAAACAACTTTAGCCAAGCCGTTTTGGTGTGTAGATCATGCCCCTGCAGTCTCATTGCTCAGTTATCTGCCATTTAGGAGTTAAATCCCTTTGTTTATGCAGCCTAGCCACACCTCCCTTCACGTGACTTACACAGCCTTTCTAACACTTCCTGTAAAGAGCCATCTAATTTTTATACTTCCTTTATTGCAAATACTGTTTAATTTAGAATTGTTTATCTCTTGCTCTGCTTATAGCTTGCTAGACCTTGCAGGAGCCTCCTCTATGTAATGAAAGTTCAATTTACAGAACAGGAGATATAAACTTTTAAAGTGAGTTACATCTGATTGAAAGTGAAACCAATTTTTTTCATGCAGACTGTGTCAGTTACAGCCAAGGGAGGTGTGGCTAGAGATGCATAATAACTCCTAAATGGCAGAGAATTGAGCAGTGAAACTTCAGAGGCATGATCTATACACTGAAACTGCTTCATTAAGATAAATGTGTTTTGGTGACTTTAGCTTCCCTTTAACCCCTTAAGGACACATGACATGTGTAACATGTCATGATTCCCTTTTATTCCAGAAGTTTGGTCCTTAAGGGGTTAAGCTTATCCATTAGATCAGGGGTTCCCAACCCAGTCCTCAAGACCCCCTAGCAGTCCAGGATTTAGGAATTACCCTGTTGTGTCAAAAGTGTTTTTTTTTTTTTTCTAAAAACACCTTAGACACTCAAGGACTGGGTTGGGAACCACAGCATTAGGTACACAATTTCCAGACAATCACACCAGCGCCCTTGCCTGTGCAGTATTCACATATTTCATGTGTGGATAGTGTGTAGTAAAGCATGGACCAATTGTGCATTTGCACAGACCAAAAATTTCCAGATACAGTTTCTGAGAGTGTACACATTAGCTGATACATCATTTACAATGTCCCACATTGCACACAAATATGGACACCATTAGCACTATGCTTACAATCCAACCAAATGACTCACTTGAAATCACTAAATTAAGGGACTGCCTAATTATATCCTGGCTCAACTGGATCTATCATTTGCTGGCTTATAATAAATGTTGGATATAATATTGATTGGGAAAATGAGGCAAACAAAATGTACCTAGATTTTGTAGGAAATATCTCAGATGGACAATTGCATCAGACATTATATGGAATTAGAACTTAAATCGATACTTACAATCAGTAGCTAAAGGGGTCTACCATAGCAAGACTGTTCTAGTTCCTTCCTATGCCGTCAATATTAACTTTACACAAAAATACAGTAGAAATGTGCTCTTTGATAGATTCAATCAGGACAGAGCACCAAGGCAAGTGCACCCATGAGCTTCCCGATAGGGGCCTGCCTTTAATTTGTATGTACCTCCTCATTTGTTGCAGTGTTTCTGCTGGAAAAAGTTGGATGCCACAGATTTGTATATAAATCCCAACATGCAAAGTGTGACCTTGTAAATAGGTGCGTTACTGGTCCTTTGAGGTGGCCGGGCTTCACATAGAACAGAATGACAGAAAAGTCAATACTAGCCAGAATCAAGGGACGCCAGAAATCAGATAAACTGTTAGACAAATCCAGGTCAAGGATACCAGAGTACAGAATTGTCAAATGGGAGCCAGGCCAGTAACAAAGATAAATCAAAACAGTATAATCGGCTATTGGGTCAAAGAGAGTCCACAACAGGGCACTGTGCAATTAGACATTTTCACTTTTATAGGCTGGGGTGGTATTGCAGTAAACACGCCCCAAAGACATGATGGGGAGGTGAAAATTGTGAGCATTGGCGTCAGTGACGTCATGGTGCCGGTGCGTGTGCCACATCATTAAAGGGGTGTGGGCACAGCAGTTGGCGTCAGAGAGACCAGAGAAGCATGCAGAGACGAGGAAAATGGCGGTCCACTGTATCAGAGCGCCATGCGACCAGAGGACCTGCCAGGTATGTTTGCCTTCATTTTTTTGTTAATTCAGATTTTGATATGCTAGAATTCAAAATTCATGGCCTAACCCTAAGAGTGTATTTGTTTTAATTATGTTGCACTGCAATTAAATAATCTCTCAGTGTCCCTCCCAAGATTGTGCTTGATATCCGCGTACTATGATAAATGCATGATTGAAATTGCAAGAGTCATTAATTTTGACAATAATACTGCATATATTTGCCAAAGTTTTACTCATTGTAATCCAAAGAAATAGACGTTAATTGGCTGTATTTGATTGCTCTTCCCAGACGTTGTGATGACCACACATCAATGCTGCAATCTATAGCGTCCAGTTTGCAAAATGGATAACATGTTCTTCCATTCAACTCCAGCAAGATCGCCTGGGGGCAAATCAAATCCAAGAAAGACTTAAAAGGCTTGATGCGGCCAACATTCTGACCATGTAAACTTTAACTACGGTCTATTAATCTTGTTATGCTTTTACGATCTACAGTACAAACAAAGAAAAATCTGATTTGTATAATGTGACTATGTCCTGGTTTATTAGGATCTTGATTATATTCTATATCTTTCTTTTAGAACTGCATACTTACAAGACTGGCAACGTCCTGGTTACTGAGAGGGATCCCCCAGATATGGAACTCAGTTCCCAACATATACCGTTCATCCCTTATTGTCATCAGCAGGGGCTGCAGAAGGACTGGAGGGGTGTCCTCTGGTGGATTTTCTAGGCATGACAGGATGATCTGTAGATATGCACATGTATTATTCTCGCAGTCGGATCTTCACCACAGTTAGAGCTTTGCAAAGCTGGTAGTCTATATGATTTGCTATTCTTTAGTGCAGGGGTTCCCAACCCAGTCCTCAAGTACCGACTACCAGTCCAGGATTTAGGGATTAACCCTGTTGTGTCTAAAGTGTTTTTTTTTTACTTTTTTAAAAAACACCTTATACACAACTGGGTAATCCCTAAATCTAGGACTGGGTTGGGAACCACTGCTTTAGTGGGATATAGACAGAGGATGAAGATAAATAAAAGACAAACATTTTGTGATATGACATTGTAAACCTTCATAGTGCTTGACTTCATATGGTGAATAGAGATATTAAAACATATTTGTAAGTGTAAAAAGAATACTCAAGAAAGTCATCAATTCCATTCTCTCTAGTCCCTACTGCCTACTAGCTAAAAAAGGTTTTAATTGTTTTGATTGTTTTTTTTAGCCTGGAGATCGCGCATTAGTCTCCTTTTTATCTGCAGCATTCCTATAATGATACCATAAAAAAACAACAGAAATACCTTTACATAGCGCGTCTCTGTTTGAATGCATTTTTTGAGGGCTCGTGTGATGGTAGGACTGGCCAGGGACTGGGCCCCTGAACAATGATTCTCATATGTCTTCAGAAACCTCTTCAGGACAGCTGTGTTCACCTCTTTACTTTCTTTCCCTTTCTTTTTGTTCTTTTTCTCCGGCATGGCCTCTATCCTACCATCCCCTGCGGCTTTAACAGACAAGTATTAAGAAACATTGTGACCTTTTATTAGAGTGTATGATATTGTAAGTACTATATTTTTACATCGTTCCATCCGGTGCCTATATATTTCACATTACACTGCAGAATATGTGCAGTATAGCCCTGCTTTATAGGAGCTAAATTAGAAAAGACTAGGAGAGAAGGTTCTTGTAAGGTTTGTTGCGAAGGTTCATGGACCTCCCTTTCAGGCTTAGTTACAATGATAAACTGCTTAGGGTCATCTCTCCACAATCACGGAGGTTATACACCAGAGGAAGCCTATTAATATTCTGCTTTCGCAACAAACAAGTGTAGTTCGTGAATTGTTACATTTACACAGCAGTAAAATGAAAACGTTATACATTTTGAAAATAAGGATAAAACATATTGCCAACATTTGACAAAGGATATTAGTATGCTAACAGCATACACGACTCTTTTAAGAGTTGTTCTTTAACCCCTTAAGGACACATGACATGTGTGACATGTCATGATCCCTTTTTATTCCAGAAGTTTGGTCCTTAAGGGGTTAAAGGGTTACTCCAAGTCCAAGCACCAGTAGTCTGTATGTGCAGTATTTTTTTTTTTTGAAACTCTGCATATACAGAAATTAACCCCTTAGTAGCTGGAGGTGTAACTCCAGCAATGGCATTAGTGAAGCAGGAACAAAATTCTCAGCAAAATTGGCATCTGAGACTAGCACACAGGCATCTGATGGCTAATGGCGTCACAGACACAGTACCCCCCTTTCCTCCCTCTGCTGCCTCTGTCCTTCACTCTGCTTGTCTTCCCTCTCCAGCGAGGGGGAGTAGCATCAGTCGAAGGGAATTGGGCTTCAGGGAGAACATCGTTTTGGACTGGAATGGAGGTAAGTATTAGCATTTATTTTTGTTTTTTTAAGTTATGAAAAATTCGGGTTTTTTTTGTTTGTTTTTTAGTTTTTTTTTGTGAGCATTATGAAGGTATATGCATATAATATGTTTATGATAAACATAAGTTACATATAAAAAGAACATATGCAACATACAGCATCCATTTTTTAGATATAAAATAAGGTCAAATTATACATCCACAGCAATGGAACAAAAAAAATCTATCAAAATCTAATATTATATATATGCACCCGATTAATATATTATATTAGAACAACCAGGTAGGTGACGGGAACGGTCAGACAGGCAATGCCAGAAAAACGTGAAAGAATAAAACATACTTTAAAGATGAGAAATTAAAGTAAAAACTAATGGAGAATCAGGATCTATAGCAAACTGGATTATCCCAAGCCTATAATCTTGCAGAGTTGGCCTATTGCGTCACTATTGGTGTTAAGTCCAGGAGAAATTTGGCCGAATGCGATGATGGAGGTGCTATAAATTTTCCAGTATCCCCATTTCCAGCCCCAAGCCATAGCAGGAGCCATGACACAATGTATATTGGCCCTTGTACTCCAGGAGCCCAGAGGGATTCCTCTTTCAATGAGAGCTCCCTAAGGATGTGGACAGCATCTAGAGTTAAATCCCTTTAGGGCTCCCAACCCAGGAAGAGAGGCGTGGACCACGGCAGCATCAGGAATGCCCCAGCAGGTGACAAGCAGGAGAGGTGTGCAGGCCTGTCCCACCTGTCACTCTTTGTAGTATGGCAGCACATGACACAGCTGGTCGATTTCATTATCCTCTACCCGGGTCTATCAGGGAGGAAGCTGTGTCACTGATACTGGCAGCGGGGAAGGAGTTACATACCACCGACACCTGCAACCTGTTAAATGCATATTGAGGTGGAAGTAGAAAGGAGTCCTGCTTCTCCAACCACCAGACACCAGGGACTGCCATGCCTCAGCTCTTCCCCACCAGTGCCCATTCGGGTTAGCAGGAAGTTTGAGGATTATGCACCTACTTCTGGGTGGATGTGTTACTGTGTGGTTGTGTGACTATAAGTGTGTGACTCTTAGCGTGTATGAAACTGTGTGTCTGTGTTGGACTGTGTGCATGTGGCTGTATGTGACAGTGTCTATGTGATACTGTATGTGTATGACTGTCTGCAACTGTGTGTGTGTCTGAATGTGTGACTGTATCTTTGTGATTTTGTGTGTGTGACTGTACGCCTGTGACTGCACGTTGCTGTGTCCATATGATTATGAGTGACAGTTTGCATCTATGTGTATTTCTGAGACTGTATTTCTAGGTATATGTTTCTGTAAGTGATGGTGTGTGTCTGTGTGAGTGTATTTGACTATGAGTGTGTCCATGTTTGTATGTGAGTGCATGTATGATTGCTTGTCTGTACATGTCACTGCATATGTATGTGAGGAAATACCTAGCAATTCCAACAAACCTCCTATCCAGCAAAGCCACACTGAGTATGATGCAAGACCTACTCCACTGCAACTCCTTGCATCCTCAGCCAGTCATGAGGTTTTCTTTGGATCATAACTCTTCTACTGGTGGCTATGAATGATAGGAATGCACAGGCTGTCATGCACACTCAGATTAGCAGGATTCAGCAATACATGTTTGTAAATCACACCTCCCCCCCTTCATTCCTCAATACTAAACTACACATTATGTTAACTATTTCAGTGTACACAAACCACAACTTATTTAAAGGACCTCTAAAGTTCAGGGCTGTGGGAATAGAGTGTACACAAAACCACAACTTATTCTAAGGCTTACATTACATATTTTTTACTACCTGAGTGAAGATATACCCACAACACTCGGGAGAAGATTCAGGGTTTGGCTTTAGAATGCTGTTGCTATGACAGCTGAAAACTTCCCTTCTTTACAGTCTTTCACAGGACATGTGGGCGGGGCTTGTTAAATTAACACGCCCCCACCAGGATCACCACGCCTCTTAGTGTTTTGCTGTGTAAATCCTGAATTGATAGGAATACTCCAGCCAGATGCACACAGTCCTTGTAGTCAAACCCTAATCACTAGTGACATTTGTGCACAAGCCAATGTGTGACTAAAAGTTAGCTATGTTGCTGTGCTTTTAGTTTTCTAAAATAGTTATTATTTTCATTTTTATTAACATGTCAGCGTGACATGTAATTAACCCGCCAGTGGCAGTGCTATGTAAACATGGCACTTGGGACAGAATTCCAAAGCACGCATGTGCTAGTATGGCATTCCTGTGCAGATGTCTAAGCTTAAAGAACCACGCACACACGTAAAGCACTTCAGCTTTCTGTATATGGAGTGTCCCTGAGGCCAAATATACCCGCCATGCCCCCCAAACCAGATACCTCAAAGCAGTGCCCATCATTCATATATACAAAGAGTTTGGTGTATGTGACTGAAGGGGTGAATGCCACTAGTTTGGGGTATGGTTAGATTGGGGATGTGACTAGTTTGGGGTATGGTTAGATTGGGGATGTGACTAGTTTGGGGTATGCTTAGATTGGGGATGTGACTAGTTTGGGGTATGGTTGGATTGTGAATGTGACTAGTTTGGATGGTGAATGTGACTAGTTTGGGGTATGGTTGGATTGTGAATGTGACTAGTATGGGGTATGGTTGGATTGTGAATGTGACTAGTTTGGGGTATGGTTGGATTGTGAATGTGACTAGTTTGGGGTATGGTTGGATTGTGAATGTGACTAGTATGGGGTATGGTTGGATTGTGAATGTGACTAGTTTGGGGTATGGTTGGATTGTGAATGTGACTAGTATGGGGTATGGTTGGATTGTGAATGTGACTACGGTAGTTTGGGGTATGGTTGGATGGTGAATGTGACTAGTTTGGGGTATGGTTGGATGGTGAATGTGACTAGTTTGGAGTATGGTTGGATTGTGAATGTGACTAGTATGGGGTATGGTTGGATTGTGAATGTGACTAGTATGGGGTATGGTTGGATTGTGAATGTGACTAGTTTTGGGTATGGTTGGATGGTGAATGTGACTAGTTTGGGGTATGGTTGGATTGTGAATGTGACTAATTTGGGGTATGGTTGCTACATTTTTAGTACAAATTTAAATGAAAATAGAGCATCATATGAAAAAAGGTTAACACAAGTCACAGGTGATTTTTAATGTTTTATTCAATTGAGTTATTGCCAGAGATGTCATGGTTGCCCTTAAAGAAATGCTAGTTCTTGTCTTCATGTATTAATTCAAATGGAGTGTGTATCTGGGACCTAGAACCACTTTAATGCAGGTATGAAGAAGCTCAGTACTTTTAACACAATAATATTTAATGAGTCTTCTGCTTCATAATAAAATGAGAACCTCACGAAGAGGTAATGAAACAGGCATACTTTACAGAAACAAGCATCTTTCACCCTGTGGTGTTTCCCTATTTATTGGCCCTGTCCTGGGTGTTTTTACTTTTTTCTGTTAATTATAACTATTCTTATTGCCATTTATATAGCACCAACAGATTTCGTAGCGCTTTACAATATTATGAGAGGAGGATTTAGTAAGATGGTAGCATCTTGTGTAAGAAAGTGGCAGATGCGGGCTATGTTTTTCAGATGGAATCTACAGGATTTGGCAACATGCTGTATGTGAGGCTCAAAGGTGAGGCCAGAACCAAGTATGACGCCAAGACAGCACACTTGCAAGGATGGACTGATGTGGGTATCACTAACTTGAAGGGAGAGCAAAAGAGGAGGATCAGTATTAGGAGGAGGAACGACAAGGAGCTCAGTTTTAGGGAGATTGGGTTTCAGAAAGCAGGAGGACATCTAGTCAGAGATGGAAGAAAGGCAAGAAGTGACACGTTGCAGGATGGCAGGGGAGAGGTCTGTTGAGGAGAGATATAACTGGGTCTCATCAGCGTACATGTGGTAGTGGAATCCAAAAGAGGTAATAAGTTTGCCAAGAGAGGCAGTATAAAGAGAAAATAGAAGGGGGCCAAGGACAGAGCCTTGGGGGACTCAAACCGAGACAGGGCGCGGGGAGGAGGTATCATTAGAAAAGGAGACACTGAATGAGTGTTGGGAGAGATAAGAAGAAAACCACGAGAGGACAGAGTCACAGAGACCAAGTGATTGAAGAGTTTGAAGAAGGATAGCATGATCAACGGTGTCAAAGGCAGCAGAGAGGTCAAGAAGAATTTGTATAAAGTAGTGGCCTTTGGATTTTGCTGCGATTAGGTCGTTCGTAACTTTGATAAGTGCAGTCTCAGTAGAGTGGAGAGGCCGGAAGCCAGATTGAAGAGGGTGAAGGAGAGAGTTGGAATTGAGGAAATAAGACACACGGGTAAAGACGAGTCTTTCCAGAAGCTTTGAGGAAAAAGGGATATGGGACGATAGTTAGAGGGGGTGGACGAGTTGAGGGTATGTTTTTTTTAGTATAGGTACTACAGTGGCATGTTTAAGGTCAGCAGGGACAATGCCAGAAGAGCGAGAGAAGTTGAAGATGTGCGTTAAGGAAGGCACGAGACAAGTGGAGAGAGATCTAATAAGGTGACATGGGACAGGATCGAGTGGGCAAGTGGTGGGGTGAGAGGAAAGGAGAAACGCAGCCACCTCTTGGTCAGTAGCCGGGGAGAATGTCTGAAGGTAGGAAAGGCATGATCTATGTGTGGTTGAGAAACAGAATGGCAAGGAGGGGAGAATTCTTTCCTTAGCTGTTCAATCTTGTCAGTAAAGTAACATGCAAAGTTTTCAGCAGTAATGTTAGTTTGGGGGAAAAGAACTGTTTCATTATTAATTTTTCTTCCTTTTTGTTAAAAATTAATTTTTATTATTCCCTTATTTTATTTTTTGTGTTAAATATTATATGATTCTTGTGTCTTATGACAATAATGTTTAAATTTGTGTTAAATAAAAGAATTTGGAAAAGAACACAGTGTTATATTATTGAAACAGGTACTCGCTCCCAAATAAACTAGGCACAAACAGAGACAAAAATAAAATAAAACAAGTAAACCATGTAATAATGCAGAATTACTTTATCCCCTTCACATAATAACATTCCCAAGTATCACTCTCTAAGTATGTGCGCCACCTGCTGGCCATTCCCTGTAACTGCCTCTTCAGATATAGACACGGAACTATGAGTTTCTCGCTACTTCCGGCCAAAAGGTTTATAGCCGGAAAGATTTCCCTAGAGCACCGTTTTCTGCATAGTCCCGTTCACATACTGGCAGTTGCTGATTGGTCTAGCTCACACACTGCTTGCAGCTGATTGGGCTAGACTCAAGCGGTGATTCCGATTGGTCCTCGGCACGCGTTCTATAACGCTGATTGGTTTAATCCCCCCCCTGCCTACTCTTCGGTGATTGGCTGTAGCCGGGCTTGGCCTTTTTGCTGTACCGGAGTTACAGTAGCTCCCTGTTCCCGTGCCGACATGTTCTCCCTGAAGAAGTGGAACGCGGTGGCGATGTGGAGCTGGGACGTGGAGTGCGATACCTGCGCCATTTGCCGGGTGCAGGTCATGGGTGAGACAGAGCACGGGGGGAATCAATTAGTGGGGGCACCGGGCATCCTGGGCCGTTTCCGGTCAGATAAAGGCTATTGGGAATGTTGCAGGAAGTCAAAACATTCAGACCCAAAACTTCACTTAAAATTATTATTATTTTTTTTTTTTTAAATGCCTGAAGGGAGAGGGTCTCAGGATTGACCCAGTGGTTTCTGGTGCCTAAACCAATCAACAGCTGCAGAGCCCTTTAATCTCCTTAAAGGGACATTCTAGGGACCATAACTACTACAACATACAGTAGTGGTTATGGTGTCTGGCGTCAACACGCTCTGTCTGCGCGTAATTTGTCAGTATGAACTTATGTCTTATCAGAATGGAAGGAGTGTGGGTGTCCGACGCAGCAAGCTGAGTGTCAGACCATTGGTAAACACTTTTTGAAAAATGTAGATGACAATAACTACAACAGCGCACAGTAGAGGTTATGGCGCTAAAGTGTCCCTTTAACTCAGGCTTCCCACAACTCCTATGATTCTCAGCCTATCGATTCTTAATTCATAGATTAATGGGAGTTGTAGTTCTGCAACATCTGGAGGGCCGGAGTTTGGGGAAACCTGCTTTAACCCCTTAAGGACGGAGCCAATTGTACAAGTTGTGATCAAAAGAAAACGTAAACAAAACCCGGAATTTGCGCTATAGGTGGTTCAACCATTATTCACTTCGTTCATATTAAGTGCACCCACACATATTATTCTATATCATTTTGTTCAGGAGCATCAGGGCTTTCATTACATAAAATCTAAAAATGTGTGACAAATTAAGAAATTTTGTTATTTTTCAAGTTCTGCATGACATTTTAACTGTGAATGTCATAAGGCTGTTGGATTTTAGTGCAATTAAATACACATATTTGTATTCAGAAATGTCTCAAGTGTACAACAGTATCCTCTCTGATTCTGTGATGAATGTAATTCCTGCCTGTCTGACTGACAGGACTTGTTGGTGGAGCTACAAGTTCCAAGATCAAGCCGTTTTTGGCAGCTCGACAAATTAGTCAAAGGGGTACAGGGACAATACCCTGGCACCATAACCACTTCAATAAGCTGAAGTGGTTATGGTATATACATAGCTTGTCCCGTTATTCATTACATAACCATCCAGAGTAGACCTATCTTTGCCATGACACTATACACTTGGGAAAGAGAAAAATAAACCATGGGGCATAGTGTCCTGTTCCGAAAAGTGGGGCAAAGTTACAAAGGGAAGGAGTTACCAATGAAGTGTGCCTGCTGGCTGCACTGGTTTCTGTAGTGATCGCCCCACTTTTAGTAGTTTGCTCCATTTGTTTGCATGCGGCATTTTGATACAAATACCCAATTATTCCTCTTCTCATCTCTCTATACTGTAAATGAAAGATCTTCTAACTGTGCTTGACAGGGAGCAAAGATGAAGGAGCTCGGTTTAGTAGTAGTTCAGTGTAGTACTGTGGATTTATGCATTCAATTAGATTTTTCAGTCTTTACAAATGTGTTCAAGTGGGCAAGTGATTGTATAATTAGAAATCATGGATAGTGGCTCTTACCTTTTAATGTAATGCCACAATGATTGCCATGACTGGGATCAAACAATCCAAGCAGCCTCCTAATATGATGGATGGGAGATGGCACTCTTGGCAATATTATTTTTTTTTGTAAATCTGATTTCTTGGCAATATTCCAAAGGATAAAGAAAGGTCATATTTGGCAGTGCAGGTAGTATGGGTAACCTTCATTTGCATTATTGTGAAATGCTGAAAGAGTTAATCTAAGCACCATGACCACTTCAGCGTTTTGAAGTGGTTGTGGTGCTGGAGTCTGTATGTGCAGTATTTCGGTATAAAACGTAGCACATATAGAAATACAAAATTTTTCAGGAAAGGCAGACAGGGATAAGTGTGTGGGATGCTGGCAATTGACGTCCTACAACTATCCCACCCCCCATGGTATTCATGAGCTTTATGGAGGCCGCCACTCTATTTTTCAGCTTACAGAACTAGAATAGGGTTCTGGCTTAAAGACACTCCAGGTACCAATACAACTTTAATGCATTTGATAGAGTTTAGCCTCATTTACATGGAATTGTTTTTTTTTGTTTTTTTTGTCTCTCTGATTGGGCTGGGAGAAAGAAAATGTAACTATGGCTTGTGTGCTTCTTTTCAGATGCCTGTCTGCGCTGTCAAGCTGAGAACAAGCAGGAGGATTGTGTAGGTATGGTAATAATATTTCAATAATTGAAGTCTCCTAATATAGTGTGAGCAGACTTCCTTCATCTTATACAGAGAAAATGCACCTTACAGGTGCCAATCCTCATCTTTCAATTAAAATGGAGGATGCTAATTAAACAGTTTACTCAGGACTTAAAGTAAACATGTCATGACGTAATAGAGGCAAAGCAAAGCTGCAGTGTCTGAGTTTTTCATAATTTCTTGTTCAATGTGCAGACAATGACGATGTCTGTTTGCACTTTTCCTATTTTGTATTCTCATGCTTGATCCTACAGTTCATGTCCCTTGGAGGCTGTGACAGCGCTCCCATACTCCAACTGAGTATGTCCTTCAGATCAGCTTCCTAGCTGTTATCTAGGACACTGGAGCACTTCAGACCCTGTTGCGGAAACTTGACTAGGCTTTGAGGACCTCTTCCACCTAACCAGGTTACAGCTCTCTCCTTCCAGCCAGGAATCAACCCCACTGCCTTATCTGTTCCTCTCCAAGGCAGATATTGACACATCTGCCTACACTGTCTCCAAGTTGCCTTTTTACAAAAGCACTTGTGACTGTCAAGCCTAGCTCTTCATAATTCACACTGGGACTTAGGTGCAACCAGGCCCAAGAACTCTGTTACAGGGATCCCTGAACAAACCTAGCAGGAACACAGTTCCCAATGGAACTAATATACAATATTTAATTGTCACTTAGGACAAGCCCCTATCCGCATTACATTTTACTTACAGTGACACACTCAACCAATACATATAACCAAATCATATGGGGAATCATACAGGCTCTCATAATAACACAATACAATATTCATACAAGTGTGGGGAAGACCATAACTAACCAGAAATATCTCCTTGCAGAAACCATAATATGCAAATCTACCTGAATATGTAAATTATTGAGTCTTGCTATTCACATAATGCACATAACAGTTGCAACCAACAGGTGGCGCTGCATATAACTGTTGCAAGATCTTCACAACCAACAGATGGCGCTGTACTGACTCCATGGCCAAATCCACCTAATTGGTGGAGAGCATCAGCAGGATAGGAGAGCATACAAAACATTTAACAAATAACAATAATACACACCCTGTACCTATAATGGACACAGGGTGACTTAAACATGAGTCATCCAGGGACCTATATGAAGTGTATATGAAGTGATGGTGACTATCACAGAGGTATTCTAGCTGTGTGCTCAACAAGTTTTTAATATTAGCATTGCTAGTAGTTTTTTTAATTTTATTTTTTAATCAATTTACAAAATGCAAAGTGAGTAAACAGATGTAAAATCAAAAGCAATCAATATGTGGTATAACCATACCTAGGCTTCAAAATAGCATAATTTCATGCACACAGTTTTGTAAGTAACTCTACAGGTTGGTCTTTCCAAATATCCCAGAGAGCTAATCACAGTTCTTCTGTGGATTTAAAAAAAACCTCAGTTATTTCTAATTGTGACTTAACAGTCCAGAGCACCCGCTGCTATTTCCTGTACCTCAGTTGCTGTATTTTGATGCCTAGTTGAGTTGCACGGCCTTTTTTCTTAGTGATGTTAGGTTCAGTTAGGTAATAGCCTTGTGCGGTGCCATGGTAAATATTATTAGTAGCATTTTTCATTATTTTTCTTACTTCTTTAATTTTTATTGACCTTGCTTTCTGAGATGGTATATAGGATCTAGGTTAGCTGATATTTCTCTAGCTTACCCTCCATTTGCTCCCAAGCAACCTCATACACTCTCTTTGGAAAGGTACCTATAGGACTAAGGGCTTTCTGTTTGGTGGAGCCTATGGATAGTAAATACCATTGGTATTCCTTACATATTCTCTCCACTTTTTATCTATTGTATAATATAAGGGGTCTGCTGCTACTTCCCTTTAAGGGATACCTACCTGCCCGGGGGTGAATTTTATCAGGTGGATATCCTTTATACCAGACATTTTTAACGACGGAACCCCAATTTTGTTCTTGCAGAACACCAATTGGGAAACGCTGCCCTAGAGCAATATAGAGGAACATGAAAATCTGTCCTAAACCACTGCATTGCATCATTTTATTTGTAGTGCTTCATTTGTCATGAAATATCGGAAGATCATACTATTCATGCCAAACCATTTTGAAATAAACTGTTACCTGCAAAATACAATTTGATTTGCAGGATAGGACTAAGTGAGTGAATAAGTGCTCTGTTGATAAATGAACAGTACGTTTGCCTTATTAATCATTGTCATTGTTTAATATATTTATCTTTTTATTACAGTGGTTTGGGGAGAATGTAACCACTCTTTTCACAACTGCTGCATGTCCCTGTGGGTGAAGCAGAACAACCGATGCCCATTATGTCAACAGGACTGGGTGGTACAGAGAATAGGCAAATAATCCACATTGGATCCCACGGACTGCTGTGCTTCCCCTGAAGATTGTCGTGGCTCAGGAGTTCATTTTTGGGAGTTTTTGCAGGCTGGTCTTTAAAGCAGCGTTCTGGTGTCCAGTCTTTACTACTTGTGTGTATGAAATTGTATGCACTAAATCGTCTGTCTACCATCGGCACAGTTAACCTCAGTAGCAAACATAATGATTGGGGATTATTGGTGCCAGTGTAAAGTGACTATTTAGCCCCTTCTAAAGGAATGCCATGGGGTGTCCTGTCCTGCAATGAACTGGCTGAAGAGAAATCTCTGTGTATAAATAAATAGTATTACTGTGTTCCTGCATCCAAAATGCAAGCTATTGGGATGTTTTGTTTGTTTGAATAAAGTTATTTTGAGTTCCGCATGGCTCGTTTTTATTTGTTAGGGTGAATGCACAGTTTCATGAAAAATCTTCTGAACATCAAGCAAATAAATATTAAAGGGACACTATAGTCACCTGAACAACTTTAGCTTAATGAAGCAGTTTTGGTGTATAGAACATGCACCTGCAGCCTCACTGCTCAATCCTCTGCCATTTAGGAGTTAAATCCCTTTGTTGGCACCTCGGCTCCTGCTCAAAACGGCACAAGTTGGGGAATTAACCCCCCAAAAACAGCACAAGAGCATGCAGGAAAGGAGCCATTAAGTAGGGAACACCCGGGTGAACCCTTGGGTGCCAAAATTAAACGTGTAACTCACCGAGACCCTGCATTACCACCCAAGGCCTACCAGAGATCGGGCAGTGGAGAGACGGCCGCTCACCACGCTGCGGACCTGAATATGGACTTCCAGGGGATGCCAACTCCTCCCCCCCCCCCCTTTGGACCGATGGGGGTCATCTCGGTCCATCATGGGCAATCGGAGAGACAGACGCAGCCTGAAACCACAGATCACAGAAGGGCTACCAAGCACATGGCCTGCTTAAGATGGCGGCGACAAGCGAGAGAAACCACACACAAGGGACAGAGAACAGCAGCGACTGGATGCAGCCTTTGACCAATTCTGGACCAAGCTATGGGACCTGATGCAAATGCCTCAGTTAAAATCGCAAGCACCGCCACCTCAGGGCGTGCGGAACCAAGGGCACAGGGAGCAGAAAGACACACCTTTGAAATACACGAGAACGAAAGGGCAGCATGTAGGTGAGCCACAACACGCACCACCCGACGCCATATACCCCAAGCAACACTCAGCCTCACTGAGAACCCACATCCATAAGCGCCCCAGACAAACTTCCCAGGCCCCCCGCCCGCACAAGGGCAATAGACGCCCAACTGCACAAAAACAAGCTCCCTATCCGGGTGCCCGGAGAGCATGGCGCCTACTCACCTCACCATGGCCTCACCACAACCCGACCGGGCAGAGACCGACCCCTTGCGACTAACTCACCATGGAGGAAGAAACGCACCACAGAGCCAACCACAGGCACCAAAAAGACCCAGGGGCTCAGACCCGAGCCGGAGACTAAAATACCTGACGCCGGTGCATCGATGCAGAGAACTCCGGGTCTGGCAGCACACACACAATCTATTTTATTTTCTTCTAGTTAATCATATTTCACTCTAGTTAATCATATTTTGTCAACATAACCATTTAGTTCAGCACGATATCAAATATAAAAATGTGCAAATTACTATGCCACTAACAAACTACTGTCGATCTTGAAATACGCTGTTGTGGCGTCCGTTGATATCCTGTAATCACCTGCACAACCAAAATAAAGAATTTTTAAAAATCCCTTTGTTTATGAATCCTAGTCACACCTCCCTGCATGTGACTTGCACAGCCTTCCATAAACACTTCCTGTAAAGAGAGCCCTATTAAGGCTTTCTTTATTGCAAGTTCTGTTTAATTAAGATTTTCTTATCCCCTGCTATGTTAATAGCTTGCTAGGCCCTGCAAGAGCCTCCTGTATGTGATTAAAGTTCAATTTAGAGATTGAGATACAATCATTTAAGGTAAATTACATCTGTTTGAAAGTGAAACCAGTTTTTTTTTCATGCAGGCTCTGTCAATCATAGCCAGGGGAGGTGTGGTTAGGGCTGCATAAACAGAAACAAAGTGATTTAACTCCTAAATGACAGTGAATTGAGCAGTGAAATTGCAGGGGAATGATCTATACCAGGGGTAGGCAACCTTTTAGCAGCACTGTGCTGATATAGGATTGTGATATCCTGTAGCGTGCCGGTCCTATTTTTTTAAATTGAGCTGTGTATGCTGCCGTATTTTGCTTGTGTTATTTTTACTGCAGTTGCTTTGCATTGTTGTATTTGTGCGTATATAAGCTATTATATTGTATTTGTTCATGAGTAGTTTACGGTATTGTGTATGATACATATGAATGTGGGCTGTGTATGAGGGCTGCTTGTGGAATTGTGTGTGTGGATGGATATGTCACATTGTGTGTTTGGTAGTGTTTGGGGTATTGCATGTGAGAGGCTGCATGTGGGGTTGTGTGCGTGTATGTGGATTGTCAGTGGTGTTCAGTTTGTGCGGATTGTGTGTATGTTTGTGTGTGGGCTGTTCGTATTATTTGTATAAGGGGAGGGTTATTCTTCATTTCTGTGTTATGAATGTAAATTAGTGATAGTAAAATGTCTATTTACTGTGTATACCTGTATTCAATATCTACTCAAAATGGCTGCTAGAGCACCCCGACTAACTACTTCGTGTAACAAGATGGCGCCTACATCCGGAGTAAAATCCCAGGATGATGGTGACATCACGCCTCGTAGGATGTGCACTAGATAAGACACTTAACACCTAACCAATTAAAGATGTATTCTCTCTGTTACCTACATTTTTGCATATGATGTATTTTTGCCTTTATAAGGGGCTTTCCGCCCCCCCTAATTAAACATGCCGAAGTTTTTCATTAACCTGATACCTGTGTCTCAGTGTAATTTACTTCAGAGCGTGCACGCATTTATTTTAACAATTTGGAAGGGAGCAGATACTCAGATAAACACTTGGTTTGATCCACAATATCTGTGTATATCTAGCAGTATAGTTGGCTTCCCTGGGTTCCAGTGGGGACCAGGCTGGCATGGTACAGGTCAAAGACAGGAGCTGCAACAGCAGCTGCAGGCTGCTCTACTACGTTTGGATTCCCATTCACAAGTACTTGGAGGAAGTGATCTGAGATGTGCTGCAATGCTTAAATTGAGGATTGTCATTCACCATCTTTTCGTATTAGCAGATATTTGAAGTTTTACTGGGACTCCTGATAGGCCAGAGTCTGTTTGGCTCTAGCAGCCTTGAGTGCCGTGCAAAGACACCTCGAGTGCCATGCATGGCACTAGTGCCATAGGTTGCCTACCCCTGATCTATACACTAAAACTGCTTTATTTAGCTAAAGTAATTTAGGTGACTATAGTGTTCCTTTAAGTATTTGTGCATACAGTATTTGTGTGGCTTATATTTAAAACATGCTAAATATTTCTTCGCCTCCTGTACCAGGGTTACTATTTACTAGGGGGTGTGCGTTTGTGTGTGAATGCAGAGGTTTATTCTTGTGGAGGGGTAAAGTGTGTATGTGTCGGGGTTCCCTTCTTAAATGAACACTGTAGTCACCAGAACTACTACAGTGTACTGTATTGGCTCCGGTGTGTCTCTGCAGTGTTAGCACTGTAAACACTGTCTTTTTGCGATTTCAAAGGATTTTAAAGGACTATATAGCCCTACTTAAGCTTTTATTTATTTTTAATTCAATAATTCTTTTATTTTAATTTGGAATAAAATTTTGTGGAAATCCATTACTGACCTGACATTTTCTGTCTGTGAGTGGCCACCAACAGAGTCCTGCAAGGAAAAAGGATTTTGGACATCCTGTAATGGTCCAAAGGCACACACCATCCGAGTCATATGAGATTATGACTCCAGGCTTGTGAGTGGATAACCTACTGTATATACATTTTCAATTTAACTTTTACTACTGTATTGCACTATGGTTTATATTTTGTTTTACAGAATATCTGTTATACTGTTATTTTAAGAAGCTCCACCTGATTTATGTATGTATATTGTTGATTTTTAAGTGGTAAAGGGGACACCACTTTGAGGTGTATAAAGTTTCATACTAATTGTCTTCCACACTGTGCACATATTCGTTATATCTTAGGGTTTACATCTCTACCTAGTAACACCTCTTGTGGCAGTCACTCAGATGGCCACTTGAGGTGCTTCCTGTGTCAGTGCTGCACGCTATGCAGCACTGGCATTCAGTGTCTCCACCGTCTGCATGGAGCTGCTGAACGTTCCCCATAGAGATGCACTGATTCAATGCTTCTGTATGAGGAGATGCTGATTGACCAGCGCAGCCCCACAATGCTTTCCTATATGAAAATATTGGATGGGCTGAGTTAATCAAGAATGACAATCTCAGTCATGGAGGTGCGGTCAGCCACAGAGAAACCTGTGCTGTGTGAGAGAAAAGGTATGTTTAAAACCTTTTAACTCCCAGGCCACCCTCTCTGAGGAGATGAAACGTATTCCAGCACTATAGTGTCAGGAATACATGTTGTAACGGAGCTCCTTGTACTCTGACCGAGTACCCTCCGTTGACAGATGCTCCTAGTGCTTCCTGAGGACTCCAAGCGCTGCAGCAGACACCACAACCACCGCAGACTCCACAACTGCCGTATCTTGACTGGAGTCTTGCCGTTTTCCTTCCACCCTGGTTCAGCTTCTGTCCTCCAGGACTGCGTGGGAAAGAACTCTTCCTTCCTTCCACCCTGTATGAACCTCCAGCATCCAGGACTGTGTGGTGAAGACCCCTCCTCCAAGGAGAGCATGTCAGGAACAAGCTCTTAAAAGAGCTAAGTGACTCAAGCTCAGGGGAGCATGCAGAACAGATCCCTCCAATAATGAGACAAGACTACATTTAGAGGGATCAAGAAGAACTGTCAAAACCTTTATTCCCTTGGGACCAGCCAATACAGTCACCACAATAACATTGTTGTGAAACCTCAATAAAATCACAAACAGTCAAACCATATCAAGAAACACACAGTGACTTATCACAACACAATGGCACATTTTTAAAGGGGTGGGGGGAGACAATATTTAACAGTAAATATCTCACCTGCCTGCAGAATTAGCAATATGCAAATCTACCCGAATATGCAAATGAACCAGTCTTGCAATTCAGGTAGTGCATATTGCTGTTGCTACCAACAGAGGGCACTAGACCAGTTCCATAGCCAAACCCACCTAGTTGGTAGCAAACCTCAGCAGTACAGGAGAGAAGGCAATACATTTCACAGTACACACACACACACACTATAAACAATTACATTACACACACCCTGCACCTATAATGGGTACAGGGTGACTAAAACATAAGATAAATAAAGCAGCCTACATAAATAGTCTGTCTGAAGGTAGAATAGGGGCTTTAAAGGCAAATACATCAAAGAGTCATAGTCACAGGGGAGGAGGCTGGCAAGCAGGCCTCTCCAGTACCAAGTGGCGAAGGGCACTTCGTCACACATGTTAATATTCCTGATGCTATAGTGTTCCTTTAATAATAAACCCAGATGTTAAATGTAAGAGACCAATGAATTATCTGAAATAGTTTTGTATTGTTAAGTAATGATTGGCAAGTGAGGGAGAGTACAATAAATGACCAATAATTCATCAAGTTGCCATGGCAATCCTTGTCACTAAGTTATTTTCAGCATGCTTCAACGAGTCAAAAGGCTTAGAAAGTAAAGTCACTGGCATGAGTTTTGCCAGGATCTAAGAGATCAGCTTTGCCACGTGTTTCAAAATAATTGTAACGCTGCGCACGATCATCCATCCCGAGTTTAATTTTTTAATTCATCAACAGTTATAGTATTTTTTTTTATTATTATTATTATTATTATGTTGAGTAAACAAATGAATGTTAGAAATATATATTTTTTTTAATACAGAAATGCCATATATCTTCTACTGAAGTAAGAATCAATCATTTTTGTTTTTCAGATCTGCACATTTTCTTTTAAACTGATGTGTGGTGTAAATCTATGTTTTCCAGTCTTAAATTGTGCAATGTTTACCACTTTAAATGCTTGCACCTGCACAAACGTGCTCCTATTTATATATAATTTCACAGATGCACAAATGCTGCAGCCTTACAGCTCCCTGATTTTGCATTTATCTTTCCCTCCCTGTCTTACCTCCTGCTCTCTACATCTTTCCACGGTGTATGTAATCGGCAGCTATAGATAGCAAAGCAAAAGCTTCTTACAACAGAGAAACCTCTTACCAGTCACTTTCCACAAATGGTACATGGGAAGGGTCTTAATGAAAATCCCTCAGTGGTATTTAATGGTAAAGCAGTGGTTGGCCCCTTGTATCTGCAGATAGAAGAGGCTGCCACAAGGAGAACGAGAGAGGAGAAGTCACTAGTTCTGTGACCTCTGTCCCAGCAGACCTGCTTCTCTTGCTGCAGCAGTTAAGTCTCTTGAACAGCCATGTGTGACATGGGAGGACTAGATAATCTGATAGCTAACACAGCTTATTTGCAGGCCCGGAAGAGCAGCGAAGGAGACCTGAGGGAGCTGCAGAAGAGGCGCAAGAGCCTGTCTTTGCCCCCCACTGATGTTTGTCGTAAGGAATTAAAAGATAATATAACCCCGGACTATGAAAGCATCTGTGTACAGCAGCCAATTGGACGGCGACTATTCGGAGATTTTTTGGTCACTGTGCCTGAATATGAGGTGGCACAAAATTTTCTGGATGAGCTGTGTGACTGGGAGCTGGAGGAAGCTGCAACCAAGGAACAAATGCTAGAAACCATTGTAAGCAAAAGGTTCAAGGGCAATGCTGAGGCTCAGCTGCCTTTTCTAAGTTCAGATCTATCGACTAGCCTCAAAGGTGCCCAAGGCAAAGAACTCCAGCAGCTAGTTCAGCGTGCCAAGGAGGAGACAAATGCCTTTCTTATGGACGGACCATTCCAGGACTTCCAGAATAGCATGTTCTACGATCGCTTCCTCCAGTGGAAAGCATTCGAGAGACAGCCAATCACCCAGAAATACTTCTATGAGTTTAGGGTACTGGGGAAAGGAGGCTTTGGAGAGGTAAAATATATATATATATGTATAAATATATATCTTTTTTTGTATATTGGTTCATTATAAGATGCCACATTTGACGTTGGCATGACAGGAGCTTAGGTAATGGTTCACTACTGGAGACCCAGACAAATTAAATTAGCCGCGGCCATGCTATGTCAGAGTAAAGAGCAAACGTCCTATCCGGGTCTCTGTTACTCCACTTTCTGCTAATAAAATTGGCTTAATACATTAACGAAAGAGCAATCCTATTCAAGTTAGTCCGTCTGGAAGTGTCATAGATGATTCTTTAGTGTTGTGAGCCAGTGCAGAGCATCTTCTTCTGTTACTAAGGACTATGTTGATGTTTTATGAATAAATATCAAAACTTATGCACCCATGAGTACATCCAGAGGGGTCACGGGTTCTTCTGAACCATTGTGTTTTGTTGGTGCTGTTACAAAGCTACATGCTGGGTAAACAGTGGATTTTGGGGATGTTACAAGTTGTGCTTGGTTGGAAACCAATGAGAAATGATACATAATATGATGCCTGGAGTTCTGTATGAAAGTGATAAGCCAAGGAGAATCCTGGTTTATGTAGTGTTTGTTGTGTTTAACATCTAACTGCAGATCCTAAAGGCAATGTATTGAGGTGTACACAATACACACACATCAAATTGTAATATTTAGGCAAAAATAAAGTTATACCATAGTTTGGGAATTTTACCAGGTTAGCTAGTGTTCTCAAAATTTTGCTATTTGGTTTTCAATTCGCTACAATTCTCTCTTTTTTGTGAACAAACCTCAGAGAATATAAATTGTACATTTGTAATGTATGTGAAGGAAATACCACTATAACTCTCTCTGACTTTCGCACTTGCCATGCACACTCATGCATCTGTGAAGATCCACATGAATATAATAAAGTGTGTACTGCACATATACATAAATGCATTGACGTACACAATTACACTGTCTGTACCGATGTGGATGTTTTGCATGGCATTTGGAGGTAGTTCTTTTGGGAGTAGGCTTCTTTGTAGATTCTATACAGCAGTAAGTATAATCACACACAGGTATATTTACTGTTAAAAGCTTGAGCCTTCGTGCTTTTCATATTTTCATAAAGTTCATATTTAAAAAAAGAAACCGCAAACAAACAAACAAAAAAATGTTTAGATTGTATTATAATATGCATAGTTCTAAACTGTAACAAATCATTCTTGCATGCTTTACCTATGTCTTACATGTTGTTAATATTCATGTGACAAGTTCTTAACAAACATGCATTATCTATCTATCTCTCTCTCGCTCTCCATCTATCTATCTCTCTTTCTATATCTCTCTCTATCTATCTATCTATCTATCTATCTCTCTCTCTCTCTATCTATCTCTATCTATCTCACATATTAGTTTGTTTGATTTTTTTTTGTAATCATACTTAAGAAAATTTTAATTTCTCTAGAATTTTTAATTCAGGATTTTCAGGATTTAACAAGTTTTCCCCGCTCCCTTATACCTTCTTTCATTATCTTCCCCATCTTCTCTTCCTCATTATTTCCTTGTGCATCACTGAAATAAACCCTGCCAAGGCTCAACTTTCTTCCTTCCCAATTTTCTCCATCATGTCTGCCTCACCCATGTTTTGCAATGTTCCCTTGACAAGCACATGCTCCATTGCCTCTATCTACCAGCTCCACTTTTGAAATACCCAATTAATAATGAATTGATTCTTCTATCAACAGCATTGACCTTATGCTCTATATTCTGCCATCCAACCAGAAATCTTTATAAATGACCACATATTTGTTTATGTTTTAATTTATCTCCAGTCTACTAACGCCAAACATTTATCTGGTATAAAACCGCCTCAACTAAATGACACCTCAGTACCTTCCCTTTCTCATTTTCTACTAAATCTTAACCCGTTTAACTTCACTCCATGTTCACCAGAATCCTTCCACTTCCTGATTCCACATTTTTTCTTCACATCCAAATTTCCATTTCCCATTTCATTTTGCAATATCCTTAAAAAAAAAAAACACACATTCACAAGTAACACAAAAGCACGGTTCAGTTCTCATTCTGACCCCATCTCTCGCCCTCCTCACTCGTTCCCAGATGATGTTATTACTACTTTATATATGTTTCCTGTTTCCCACAAGTTTAACTGTAAGCAAGATGGGACTAAATAGACCTGTTTATGTTATAGCACATTCTTGCTTCTGTTACATTTGTCATTTCACCTACCCTTAGGGAGAGCTGAGCAGGAACCCCAGGTTTTGGAGGGGACCAAAACCTAGAACTAACAGAGCTTTATGTAGCAAATAGATGAAAAGAGGCTTCACATCCACTTGTGAACACAGGGTACATTTTGGTGAAATGTGGAAATGTAAGAATTGGTATATTATTATTATTATGATATTTATAGAGCGCCGTCAAATTCCGCAGCGCTTTGCAATGGGTGGACGAACAGACATATATTAATTAGCTTGTGAATGTGAACAAAGGGAGAGAAACTTGACAAACAAAGCCATGGACATAGTTGAAATGAGGATAAAATTATGGATATGGAGTGAAAGAAGGTAATTAGCTTTGGGATTGATGGAAATTTTAGGAATAATTGATCCCCTTGTACAGCACTACGGAACCTATTGACGCTTTATAAATAATAATAATGATAATAATATGGGTCTTTAAATAATATAGAGAAATACAAAGCAAAGCTTTCTACTCGCACAGAAACAGGGATAGGTTCTCATATTGACATACACACACTGAAACACTAACATTGCAAACACACTTAACACTCAAACATATGGCTATATAGCCGGGGTACAGGTGGGCTGGTTTTTAATAAACTAAAATTAAGTATTTGGGATGAATACTTAAAGCAATATTTACACGATGAATACATACATATAGAATGACACAAAGCATATTTGATTTAATGCATATTGATGGTGGCATATGGTATTTACGCAAAAAAAAAATCAAGATTTGTCAAAAATGTCAGATTAAGTTAAGACTTAGAGAAAAAAAAGTAAGAGGCTCTTTCCCCAGACCTCACAAATGTTTAGAGTCACCCTGATATCCCAGAGCTAGTGAACTGAAGTATAAAGAAACGCACATATTGCTTTAGTGGGAGTCTCTGCCCAGTCCAGAGCTGCAGTATGAGATGCTTTTTTGTGAATCAACTATATGAATGCCAATAATGTTAAACAGGATTTAATTCAATGGATTCACATGACGTATGTCAGTGAGATTAGACACACAGGCAAGCCAATCAATGTAAGTCATTTACCATTGGCCACTTTTGTGCAAGTCATTTTTTTTAATGTATCTATTTGAGGGAAATCCTGGATTAGTTACTATAATAATTCCGTGACAAACTGAATGTTATTAATTATAGTTTATCTTATTGCGACTTTAAAGGGACTAATGAAAGTATTTAGAAAATTGGGCAGACTAGATGGGCAGAATGCTGTCACATTCTATGATTCTATGTTTTATGTTTAAAGGGACCTTCTTAAAGCCTTTAACCTTAATTCAACATGTACATGTATTTCAAGTTATACGTTTGTTCTACTAGGGCAAAATATTAACATATTCTCAGACTGCGTTATCTAGCAGGGTTATTCACTAAAGCCTTTTGTGTTTTTTGTTTTTTTTATGAAAAAAAAGTGCACTCATATAATGAGTGTGAAAATATCAATAAATGTACTTTAACGATATTGAAAGGATCAGGCCACTTAATCTCATTGAATTTGCATGGATGCAGTGTTTTTTTTGTTTTTGTTTTGTTATAACCCTGCAATGTAGAAAAAACAAAGTTTGCTTAATGAAACAGTTTTGGTGTATAGATCATGCCCCTGTAATCTCACTGCTCAATGTTTTTTACAGTGTTCCTTTAACATGCAGTGCTGCAGTGCTCACAAAAGTTCCCAAATCCCCAAGCATTGATATGCAAAAACTCAAGTAAAAAAAGATACGTAGTATATTTAATAGTATTTTACATTTATAATTATTTAATCACTTTTAAAAACACAGTCATGAATGTAGATCAGCTAGCAATGTTCATAAATCATGTTGGATGCAATGACCCACATTCATCCATTATATCCCACCAAGTCTTCTTCTGAGACTCTCTCTCTTCTTTGTCCCAGGAATAGGTGGAGGTTGGCCCCTTGGTGAAGGCTTATAGCAGACCTTGATAAATATGGCAATCGTTTTGTGGTTCAAACTGCTCAACCACTTGACACATCTTGTCCAAACTGGTCTTCCTCAGGTGTCTAATCTTCATCCCCTGGTACCTCCTTATTTATAGCAATCTAATTGATGTCTCCTTGGCTGGTGTATTGTGATGGTATAATGCAGGATGTATTTATTTTTATTTCAGCTATTTTGTTTCTAATATGTATAAATCAATTAGAATTCTTGTGGAATTTCAACGTTAATCTGAGAAAATGGCTGGACATCTACAGGCAGGGTTACACGCTTAACTAGAAATTGTAGCAAATTAAAATCTGAGCGGCAAATTTAAGCTAAAATAATGTTGGATCTGTTTTCAGATTTTAGCAAATTAATGGGTTCTACAACAGACTTTAAAATATACTTGGATTTCTCAAAACTGCTCCTCTCCCTTCAAGGTGAGGAAGCATGGTGCCAGGTGAAAAATGTTCGTCGTCTATCTAAACATTAAACATTCCCATGCACTTTCCTATTCTGAATACTCTATGTACTTCATCATCTCCCTCCAACATGCTGTTAGTCTAATTAGTGTATTTTACATAGATGTGGATGGAGGGATCGCCTTGAATCGGCATCCAAATTAGCGAGGGTCTGGGGTACTTACTGATTACAAAACTATCAATTTGTGATGTATGTGATAAATTATTATCCCTTTGATTTCTGCATCCTAAGCGGCTATTACCACTTTTCTGCACCAGATGCTCCAGTCTGTCATGGAAATTAATGGGTCAACCTGCTCTGATTGAATGCACAGACGTGCTATCAGGTGAAGTGGATCTTCTTGGATTTACTGTACATCATTACAATTAAACAAGGCTAAAAACACTGCTACCCCCTCCCCGCTCTATCCCCTCCACTAATTCTTTTTAATCTCCTGTCCACAGCAAAAAGTTCCCCACTGTGAAAAGAGGTATTTCTGCTGCTAATTACCAGGGTTTGGTGGTAGCTGAGTCCACATTCAAGCAGAATTATATATAACTGTCAATGCCCAGATAAACAGACTGTGAAAAAGCAGATTAATGTAAGTTTAGGTACAAGATTCTAATGACCTTTGTAATTACAGTGACAGTGAACCTGGCTGTTACTATCACTAACATGTCATTAGTAAAACACGCAGTGCGTATAGCGCCAGCAAATACCATCGAGTACCATGGTAATGCAATGCATGCAATAAAATCTGTGGCCCCAAACACATTACCATGGGGTTTATTCACTAGATTTAGAGTTGTAGAAGATGGATATCTGAATTATTAAACACTGGCTGAATTGGAAATGTTCTACAGCTAAGGTATAATCACAGCTCGGCCTATTTTAGCTTACATTTCAATGTGCAACAATTCAGATTCTAGTTAAACCAGAAAATAAAAGCAGACACTATACAGTGAAGGAGGTGCTGCCATTTATATGGATCTGTCACTTTTCAGTATTCCATAAATATAGAATCTTTATGAAATACTGATTAATACTGCGTTGGAATTTCATTGAAATTGCAACAGAATCCAAAATACCATAAGGGAAAGAAGGGGGTTCTTTATTTTATGGTAAAGCCTGAGGTTGACAAAAGGCAGAACTCTGCCTTCAACTTTTTTCAAATCCCAGCAGTATTCACAAATGACGGTGTGGATTCGGGCTTTGTCTGTCTAGGATATTGTGGTCTTGCGTGATCTTCCATATACTTCAGTGCGGTATTTTCCTGCATGTGCCAGAGTATAGCACGGAGGTGGTTACTGGCAACTGAAGCACCAGGAGCCATAAAGGACCAGAGGCATGAAGATGTTGGCGGCCGCGAAAGACAGCTTGATGTAAGTAAAACTCACCTCCCCTGCAGCCACAGTGCCCACACCAGATCTGTCCATTTTGGGGGTGTTTGTGAAATATGCAAAGTTGCCTGAAATGACAGATCTGCTTTAAGTTGCTAGATCACGTTCCCTCTCCCCCGTTTAGCTGCCTACCAGACTTGTTTGTAGCATAAATGTTTGGATACTCATTATCTGGTGAAACATAAAAACATTGATTTTGTATATACATATGCCTGGATATCATTGAACAAAATTTTGATAGTTGATGGCGTGGGATAGGCATAAGGCTATCCTAACTATAAGATAAGGCCAGGGACTAATGAAAGTATTTAGAAAATTGGGCAGACTAGATGGGCCGAATGGTTCTTATCTGCCGTCACATTCTATGTTTCTAGAAATGCCTAAATTTGGAACCACTATGAGCACTAGAGGAGTGGTTTAGGCATACTTTATATAACCACCAATAGATGGGGTGGAGGGTTCCCTTGGAACCTGTGTACCTAATTTATTGAATTACACTCCACAGACACACCAACACTCACAAATATATTCAATAAAGTGTGATTTATCAGGAATACAAGGTGAATTTGTTGTTTTAGTCCAAAATGGGCTAGGCTTGCTGTTATTTCCCAATTCCTGTGGAATTTTTTTCAATTTAGCCTTCGAAGCCTAAAACTTGAAATTCCATTTAAAATCCTTATAATTCATACTTTTGTGAATTACCCAGGCAGAGAAGAATTGTATGTGAAAAAATGTTGTCAATTGCAAGAATAGCATGCAGGTAGGAACGAGACGATGCAATGGAAAGTTAGGGTTACGAGTGTAGGTGAAGGACACATTTGGATGTTGAAGACTATAAGCTGTAATTCTGGGAGGCTGTCCTTGGTAAATAACCATATCTTAGCGGCATGATTAATTTTCCTATAATACATTTATGTGTATGCATAAAGCATAGTCTGGGTCCTCGTTAAAAATAGTAATCTTAGGGAGGATGAGTGTAGCATAGGATATATAGAGAGTTGAAAGGATTTCTGCAGAAGTTCTCTTGCCAAGATGGGAGATAATGAGGCAAGTTATATGTATTTGATAGCAAAAGGGCAGGAGTTGAATTAACAGGGAAAATATTGGGAAAACAGAAAGCACAATTAATTTAATATATTACCCTGATGATTATTATAATTGCATTCCATTACACATAATATTTATACATAATGGTGAATAGATTACACAGATGGACTTGCTGCATGTACTATCAGAATTAGATATCAAAGAGATACTGTAGTCACCCAAAAACTTTAGCTTATTGAAGCACTTTTTATGTAGAGATCATGCCTTTGAAGTTTCACTGCTCAATTCTCTGCCATTTAGGAGTTAAATCACTTTGGTTCTGTTTTTGCAGCCCTAGCCACACCTGCTCCATTAAGCTAAAGTTGTTTTGGTGACTATAGCGTCCCTTGAACCCCTTAAGGACCGTGGACATTTGAGGTACGTCCGACAAAAAATGGTCCTTAGGGTCTGCGGTAAATTTGAGCGCCGTGATCGCTTCCAGCCGCTCTAAGGGTATTAGACGATGCCTCCGGAGCGATAATTTCCGGGTTGCCGCATGTGGCGCCCCGGCAGTGTAGGCAAGAGCATCGGAAGCCTTCAGGCAGGCTTCCGATGCTCTGTTTGTACTGAGTGCCTCGAGGGATCGAGGCACTCAGTTAAAATATATATATTTTTAAATTAAATTTAAAAAAATTTACCCTCTCTCCCCATGTACTTACTGATTGCCGTCATTCCCCCGCCTGCAATTGGTCTTCTTCTGAGGGGGACTGTCTGGGCTCAGACATTTCCCCGAACATAGATTAGAGGGATTCCCTGCCCTGGTGCATTCATCTATGTTTGGGGGGCAGTTTCCCCGAAAATAGACGAACGCACCAGAGAAGGGAATCCTTTAACTCCTCACTTACTGACCAATTCATTCTATGACTGGGTCATAGGAACGGAACACGGTCTGTAAATGAGGAGTGTCTGTATTATATATGTATAATATATTATAAAATAATAAAAGCATTTTATAATATATTATACATAAATAATGCATATAAATGATTTCATTATAAGTGTACTATTATATACACAAATATCTCAAAATACACTTAGAATGAAATCATATATATGCATTATATATTTATAATATATTCTAAATTGCTTTCATTATAATATATTATACATATATAGGAAATAAAAGTGTAGGTGTAGGAACCTATATAGGAAATATTTATACACAAATAAAAACACATGTATTATATGTGTGTGTGAGTGTTTGTGTGTGTATATATATATATATATATATATATATATACATTTATATATATATATATATATATATACAAAAGGATGATTCTTGGCACTCACCCTTTCATACAAATCATCCAATTTTTTGCCTAGGTGCAATCCCACATTGAAGATATATAAACTGGGTTATCTACATTTGAAAATGGTATGCCATGATGGGGTTATTTCACATTCCTGGGCTACCATATGGTCTCAAAAGGCAACACGGACCCAGCAAACCAATCTGGCAAACTGAATTGGGCAAGCCCTATATTGACCCTGTACCTTTTCAAAACACCATAAAACCTGTACATGGGGGCTATTGTTATACTTGGGAGACTTCGCTGAACACAAAAATGGTTGCATGAAAAGAGTCAAAATACCCCAAATTTAATACCTTAGGTTGTCTTTTAAAAAATTTATACATGTAAAGGGTTATTCAGGGATTCTTGACAGATATCAGTGTTACAATGTAACTTGCGTAAATTTTGCGTTAATTTTGAAAAAAAATGGTTTTGAAATAGCAAAGTGCTACTTGTACTTATTGCACTATAACTTTCCAAAAAAGCTTAGAACATGTTAACATTGGGTATTTCTAAACTCATGACAAAATTAAGAAACTATTTAGCACGGGTGTTTTTTGGCGGTTGTAGATGCGTAACAGATTTTGGGGGTCAAAGTTAGAAAAAGTGTGTTTTAATTCATCTTGTTTTATAAAAAATTTTTTTATAGTAAATTATATGACATGATGCAAATAATGGTATCTTTAGAAAGACCATTTAATGGCGAGAAAACCGGTATATAATATGTGTGGGTACAGTAAATGAGTAAGAGGAAAATTACAGCTAAACACTAACACCACAGAGATGTAAAAAGAGCCCTGGTCCTTAACGGTAAGAAAATTAAAAAAACTTAGTCTGGTCACTAAGGGGTTAAAGTGAATTCAAAATGAATTTCAACTTTAAGGTCAGAATAGCTGAACTAAAGGTATAGCTGACCTAGAGAATCTTTGTTCGGTTATTTTGACCTGAAATTGGAAATTCACTTGAAATGCTCACTTTAGTAAGTAGCACTGTATATGTTCATAGTGAATTCCTGACATTTTTTTACAATATGTATTCCCATTATTCACATTTATATGTATACTCGTACGCTATATATACACATATTTAACACTGTGAATATCTCTACAATGTGTCCTGTATCAAAGATCCAGATGTTTGATATCCTGTGACATTAGAACGTGACATACCTAGTATGGGCAATGTTGAATGTGCAGAATGCCAAAGACCACATTCGCAATACGGCGATAATGTGTGCCAGATTGGCCACAACTGTGTATTTGTTTTTTTTATCTTTTATATTCAGTTCAAGAGAACAAAACATAATTATATGATATCATCATGTAATTTTTTTATTTTTTTTATTTATTCTTTATTTAACAGTTAGCATTGGCATAGCATGTTGATGTTCAGAGGTAATAATCATATCCGTTACAGGCATAACATTCACATCCCATATCAAACCCCCCATCCACACTAGGGCAGACTGCCTCTCCACTCCTATACCCCACTGTGTATAGCTCCGAGTCCGTGAATTGCTCATGAGTCCCCCCGGTTCTCCCGCTCTCGCTTTCCTTGCCAATGCCAGTTTTCTTATTTTAACCAAACATGAGATATACAGACAGAAACAATAGACCAAAAAAAAGAACACAACAAATACAACAACCATGTTTGTCTCTAACTATCATCATGTAATTTTACCTTGCGGTCTACTAGCTGCACTCTATTAACCGTGAGATGGATGCATGCATTAGGATCATCTCAACTGCATCCCCTCGATAGATAGTGACCCCCCACTTCAGTCACAGACTAAATCTATTCTGGAAATGCAACTCCTCTGCTTCCTGCATCTCTCCCTAGCCTGCCTCCAAACAGATTAACAGATTAACTAATTGCCTTCTGTGCTTTCCTAGTAACTCAATCACTGAATTGCATAACTTCCATAATTTCAAACAGACGAAGAAGGACATTTTAAATTTAGGAGTGTGACGAGAGGCAGGGCTTTTCAGAGACGTTTTAGGTGTCTTACTAATAATTTATGCAACTATAATGTTATTTACAACAAGAACAATGTATCTTGTGATGTGTCTTCCATCAAATGTTCAGCAGATTGTGACACTCTGACATTAGAATGTGACCTACAGCCTTAAGTCATTAAGCGCCCTGTGCGAATAAAGTCCACAGTGCCCCTCCCTGGTCACACCTGCTCATCCATGTATAGTGTGCCTATGGGGGTGTAGTGTAATAGCGACTTTATTAAAGTACTAATTATTAGAAAAACAAATATTCATTACCCCTCCCCCATTGTTACCTTGCAGAGAGGGGGGCATGCTGATCTCTGGTGGTCCAGGGTGCTGGAACTCAGATCTGTGCCCCTGCCTCTGTGTGTGATATTTATTTTAGGTATATTTACTGTGCGCGATATTTGTGATGGGTATTTAATACAGATTTTCTTTTAAATGCATGTAGGCCCATGTGTGAATGCAGGTGTGTATTTTTGCAGTGTCACACAGTCACAGGCAGACAGTCACACACATACATACAGGCAGTCAGTCACTCACAGTTACAGGCAGTCAATCACACACAGTTACAGGCAGTCAGTCACACACACACACACATAGTCACAGGCAGACAGTTACACACAGTCACAGGCAGAAAGTCACACACGGTCACAGGCAGACAGCCACACAGTATCACAGGCAGACAGTCACGCACACAGTTGCAGGCAGAGTCACACACACACACACACACACACAGAGTAACAGGCAGAAAGTCACACACACACAGTTAGAGACAGTCACACACAGACCATCACAAACAGTTAGTGACAGTCACAGGCAAACGGTCACACACACAGTCACACACAGACACAGTGCAGGCAGAGTCACACACAGTTACAGGCAGACACATGCAGTCACACACATTTAGACACAGTCACAGGCAGACTGTCACACACACACACAGTCACAAGCAGACAGTCACACACACACACAGTTACAGGCAGCCACATACACATTCACAGGCAGTTAATCACACACAGTTACAGGCAGTTACACACACAGTTACAGACAGTCACACACACAGTCATAGACAGACACACAGTCACAGGCAGACCAACACACACACACACACACACACACACACAGTTACAGGTGGACAGTCACAGGTAGACAGCCACACACAGTCACCGGCAGACAGTAACAGACAATCACAGGTAGACAGACACACACACACACGCAGACAGTAAAAAATTTTCATTATAAGGAGAGAGGTGGAGGCAGTGCAGTCACTGTAGTTATTGGGGAAGCATGGACTCCCTCCTGACGCCCCCTCAGTAGTTAGCAAACCTTAGCCGGCAGCAGGTGTAGGCAGAATATAGTTCCACCCCCTGCTATCCATTTAGCTTTGAACCTGCAGCGTATTTACTTACTTTTCACAGGTAGCTTATGGAATCATGCCACTGACTGCACTAGCATTTGCTTGCCCCAGTGTGTGCGAGCTATGTCTGTCACCCCTTATGTTGGCCCTGGTGACATACTTGGTCTGTGCATTTATGTCACTTTAAAAAGAGAACTAGTTGGCTAGTGACTTGTCATTGCCATCCTTAGTAGTGGGATACCATGGAGCAAAAGTGAAAAAAGACTCAAACTGTGGTTTGCATGTGTGGGGATGCTCCCTGTGGTGTTGTATGTGTTTGGCGGTTGTTTGTGTGATTGCATGTCTGTAGAGGAGACTGTTTATGCTGTAGTGTGTAAAGGGGTCTGTTTGTGGTGTACTAAATGTAGCCAGGGGCTCTAGTGTGTGGGTGTGTTTCTGGGCTGTAAATTATGTGTGTATGTGTGTGTGCATGTTTATAGGGCATTTAGAGTGTGTGGGCCTAGAGGGTTGTTGCGTCTGCATGTAATGGCTGTAATGTGTGTGTATTTCAGGGCTGCAGAGGTTTTCAATTGTGTGTGTGTATAGTTGCAGTAATATGTGTGGGGCTTAGTGTGCATGTTTGTATCGGGGGTTTAGTGTGTACATAGGGGACATAGAGGGTCGATAGGGGTAGAGTGGGTGCACAGGCGGTGTAGTGTGTGTGTATAGGGATATAGTCTATGTGTATAGTGGTATAGTGTGTGAGTGCAATGGGGGTGTAATGTGAGTTTATAGGGGGTACTGAGTGTGTGTTGTGCATTTGTGTGTGTGTCAAGAGGGTGTAATGTGAGTGTTTATAGACAGTATAGAGTGTGTTTAGTGTGTGAGTGAAGTGTATAGGGGATATAGAGTGTGTGTGAGGACAAGGGGTGTAGTATGGGTTTATAGACGGTATAGAGTGTGTGTAGTGTGCGTTTATAGACTGTATAGAGTGTGTGTAGTGTGTGTGTGTAAGTGCAGAGGATGTTGTGTGTATATAGGGGTATAGAGTGTGTGTAAGTCTGTGCAGGGGTTGTTGTGTGTGTATATATATATATATATATATATATATATATATATATATAAAGAGGTATAAAGTGTGTATATTGTGTTTACAAGGTGCAAGGGGTGTAGTGTGTGTGTGTGTGTGTGTTTGTAGTGTGTTCAGGGGGTGTAGTTTGTGTATATAAGGGATAGGGGCTTAAATAAACAATTTGCTAATTTAATTTAAAAAAACAACAACATGTATACATTTACTCTCTCCTCCCCTTATTACCTTGCCGAGGGAGAGGGAGCACGCTGATGATGATCCCTGGTGGTCCAGTGATGTGGTCTGTACCTCTGCAGGGCACAGACCATGTCTCTCTCGTGAGAGCCGAGTTTCAGAGTGCTGTCATGGCTTAACGTCAGAGCTTGTGAAAGGGAGAGACAGAGACTGCCAGCCATACAGCCCAGAGGCACTTTACCTTGGTGTCCCAATTCCCTTCCGGCCCATGAGAAGACAGAACTGTTCAGACCCTCTCTGTTAGCGCCAGTGCTGCTCTGCTTGGGCTGACAGGGGAGATCTTTTTATCGTCCCTGCCAGCCTCGGCCCCTGCCCATCGAGGCCCCCAGGCATTTGCCCAGTTTGCACAATGACCAGTCTGGGCCTGACTGTAAGCATTGTTGCTGTGGACTCTGTTATACACACAGACACACCAACAATATGGAGCTCATAGAAAAGAGGGATATTAGGATAAAAAAGTGGGATAATTTAACTACTGACATGGGGTCTGCTTGGCACGGTCACTTCCTCTATGTAGAGCCAGAACCTCAAGCATGGAGGGCTATGCAGGGCCAGCTCATTAACTGAGAGTGTTAGTTGATAACTCTCAGCCAATGAACTAAGCCATGCACTGTTTGACTTAGCTTAATGTAAAGAACTTTGGCTGTCATGGACGAGGCGACCTGTGCACAGAGAACCCCAGTTAAAGAAGTCAAACTGTTAACAAACCCCTGTAGTGGTTGTGGTGTTTGGAGTGTTCCTTTAAATTCCTTTTCTGTACCTATTCCAGTAATCTATACCCTCTTATCTCATCCTTGAAACATTTGTCAGCCTTGTTTTTTCACTTTCTCTTCTCTGACATTCCATCTGTAATCCCTGGTGATTTCAAAATCCCTGTTGATACCCTAACCAGATCTGAAACATCCAAACTGCTTTCTATCACTCCCTTCTTTGGTTTTATGTAGTAGACTAACACCTTACTCGTTATCCTGGTAACGCTCTTGATCTAATCTTCCATAATCAGTTTTTAGTCTCTGATACAGCATTTCCACTCTATCATTACCATCTGGTAACCATCATAATGTGCTCCTCATCCATCTACATATGCTTAACCTGCCGTAATCTAGAAGCAACTTTTACTTCCTTGATACACAGCATTCCGTCATTGACCTTCAACTTCTAATTTCATCCATCTAAGCCTTCTCCTATTTGAACTTAGTTACCCTGTTTCGAACTCCACCTTCTCAAATAGGTTCCCTCTGCTCATATACATTTAAAAGCAACCCCCTGACATTTTATATTTGAGGGCCACAATTATTACAAGTAGCCAGGCATCGGATGAGAGACTGGGTCATATATTAAGTGATTGTACATTTATACACTACTGCACCCAAGGCTTAATCCTGGTATAAAAGGGAGTTTATAGGACCCTGATCTTTATTGTTTATCCCCTCCAAACATAGCTGATGGTATGGGGGGATAACCGAGGAGATCTCCTTGTGGATATTCGGTCCATTCGGTCACTTAGATTTATTCAAACTGAAGAGCGTAAACTTGCACAGAAAAAATGGTCGTTAGGTAATGGAAGTTAAAACATAACTTTTAATTTAATCCAATAAAAAACTGTCTGAAACACTCAGAAGCAAAGGTAAGAACGGGTCTGCAAAAGGCAACCAAAAATAATTAGAAAAAAATATATATATATATAAGATAAAGAAATAACGTATATACAAGGGAAATGATTATGAAATACTGAAGTCACGGTCTACATAGATCTAAATTCATTAGGCAAACCCAGCATAAAAAGCACAGTTACTTCGTCTCAATGAGTATAAAACTGAATTAGGTATAATTTATTCTTAGCATGTCACACATTACACAAGAGTGAGAACATTTAACCATCACAATTGCTGTTATTGGCTTGTCATGTACTGGCTGTGCTGGCTGTTTTGTGGTTTTTGGTAATTGGCAGCTTTTATGGGAAGTGTGGCACTTAGTATAAAAATATTAAATAGGTTCTCTCCTATTCATCTAAAAGTCTTTTTGCCAAAATGACCCACAGATAATATTCTGAGCTTATCAAACAGAACACTTTTTATTTTCATCTGAGCGGCTAGTTTTTGAATGGTCTTCATTTTGAACGCAGTACTTATCAGTTTTTGTCATCAGGAAGTTCATAAATATCATCTAAATATCATGAGTTATTGAGTCATATCATCTTTACAACCACTGTGTATTCGTTTTAACAAAACAATAACCAGCTAAAGGCCAGAAGTTAGGTAAATGCCTCTATATAATGTCATTGACCCTTACGGGGTTAAGAATATATATAATAGTTTTTGGATGGTTAGAAAATATTTTTTTTTTTGTCAATTCTCTTGTATTAATATGTTTTTACTATTGTAATATATTTGTTTTCTGTTATAATCTTGTTCTTTAAGTGGTAGCAAAATTTGGAATGCATGAATCTGAGTTCCCTATGCCACATTGGTACATTGGTATATCTATCTGAGTTGTGTGTGGAAGGCCACACTATAGGGTCTATTAACTAGTTAGTGAATTGTGGTGAATTTGTAGAAAGAATTAGGATAAAATAGCCAGGATACAAAGAGAGCTGCATTGAATAATTTTTCCTGACCTATTTTGGCATTGTTCATGCAATATTCATTTTGGTTATTTTTGTAAGACAATAAAATTCCATAAAAAATAATTAGTCTTTCACTATTGTAGAGATTTGAAATAGTTCAGATTAAATTATGCTTTAATGTTTATTTGATGTGTACATAGCTTACATGCTTTCATCCAAATTGTCTTCCAGTGACTGTAGACATGCAAGCAATATGCACAAAACAATAACACAAAAAACACAGTTTATAGTGAGTCAATTCTAACATATATGCTATTTGTGTCTCAGGTTTGTGCTATTCAGGTGAAGAACACTGGTCAGATGTATGCTTGCAAGAAGCTAGATAAGAAACGTTTGAAGACGAAAAATGGTGAGAAAATGGCCCTGCTCGAAAAGGAGATTCTGGAGAAAGTTCATAGTCCCTTTGTGGTGTCCCTGGCCTACGCGTATGAGACTAAGAGCCACCTGTGCCTAGTGATGAGCCTCATGAATGGAGGGGACCTCAAGTTTCACATTTACAATGTGGGAGAAAAGGGCTTGGAGATGAAGCGAGTGATCTTTTACTCTGCCCAGATCTGCTGTGGAATTCTTCATCTTCACTCCCTGAAAATTCTCTACCGGGACATGAAACCAGAAAATGTCCTTCTAGATGACGATGGCAATTGTCGTTTATCTGACTTGGGACTTGCTGTTAAAGTCAAGGAAGGAACACCTATTAACCATAAGGTAAGTACTGTGCTTATTTACAATGGTGAGGTTTCTGAGAGCAGAAGCGAAGAGGGGTCTGAGCTATTGCTCATTGTATAATAAGAACACATCTTAATTCCTCAGGATTTGGCCTTCGCTAAGGACCTTATGTGGCTATTTAATTTTAAAGGCAGATGGTAAGGAGATTTCCCAATTAACTCTTTCAGAGCTACTTAACCATTAGTTTACATAATGCATGTGATTAAGATGTTTGAGACTTTGTGTATGTATACAAATTAACCTTTTTTGCACTTTGTATGAAACAAGTTCACTGAATGTAAAATGTCGCATTTGTGAAATAAATTTGTATAAATACATCAGTTTACGCAAAACCAATTCTGAACTCAAAGTACTGCTCTGTGACTTTACATTAATTGGTAAATCCTAGGTTAAGAGGACATCATTTCATGAGACACTCTTGATGCTCTTTATAATCAGTGCAACAGTAATTATTATTTTTGGATATTTTTTTTAAAAAAGAGCAATTGGATTATGTCGTACCGTATAGTAGTATTACTGGGATACAAGATGATGTTTAACATGCATTACATAAAAGTTAACATAACAAACATAGAGAGCCGTGCTTAGAAAAGATTACAGTCTAGAACAAAGTGGGCTAATAGAGACAGAAGATAAGGGGGCTCTATGGAAGACAAAGACAAACTGTAATGGGATGTGATACCTAAAGCAGTGTAACAAAGAAATTCTTATCAAAATGTAGGCTTCAATGGCATCCTGAGCAGTTCAGTTCCCTGGGGACCTCCGTAGGCACTCGGTCTGACTGTTGTAACTTGGTGTGGTTCTTTTCTGCTCAGTCTGTAATCTAGAACGTTGCGTGACTGTAGTCAGTGCTTTGAAAAAGAGGAGTGAAGACACGACTAAGGTATTCCCTTGCATAGACAGATAACAAGTCTGGTAGTTTGGCTTCTCGGGTTTTAAATACAGTGTTTTCTGAGTCTTACCCAGCAAACATATATTTGGGCATTTCCAGTCAATGAGTATCCATTAAGAATAAAAATACTTTGCTAACATCTCTGTCCCTATGGATCAAAATGATTTCAAAACTCAGGTAAGTGGTTTGAGAGGGGTGACTGAATGTATCACCCGAAGGCTTTATTATTTGATTAATTATTATTTTCTCAAGTACAAAAGTAATGAGTACACAAGCTGATTTTTAGACACATTTAGTGGAGCCCTGTATCACACTCATATATTAAAGACATTCTAAGCTGTAAATGTGGAACACCAAGGTAGGAAAGATGAGATGGACATTGGATTTGGTTTAGAAGGACTGTCATTCCATGCTTAAGGACAACCTCTTGGGAGATGTAGCATAGTACCATTTAGAGAAAGGCAAAAAGGATGGTCGAGACTATTGTGTTCCCTGGGATTAAATCTGCATCCAGTAGAAAGTACAGTTTTAGCTCAAGGGTAGTAGTTATTCTCTCCCTCCCACCACCCATCCCCGGTTGCTGAAAGGGGTTAAAACCCCTTCAGTGACTTACCTGAGACCCCCTCCTCCTCTTCATTATGTCAGCAGGCGGGGGAGACTGAACCACCCGCCAGCTGAGGAGACCTAATGCGCATGCGCGGCAATGCCGCGCATGCACATTAGAGCTCTCCATAGGAAAGCATTGAAAATGCTTTTCAATGCTTTCCTTTGGGGAACTGAGCAATGCTGAAGGTTCTCACACAGCGTGAGGATGTCCAGCGACGCTCTAGCACAGAAAACCTGTGATATGAAGCAGGAAGTGCCCTCTAGTGGCTGTCTAATAGACAGCCACTAGAGGAGGAGTTAACTCTACAAGGTAATTATTGCAGTTTATGAAAACTGCAATAATTACAGTTGCTGGGTTAAGGGTAGTGGGAGTTGGCACCCAGACCACTCCAATGGGCAGAAGTGGTCTGGGTGCCTGGAGTGTCCCTATAAGAAATGTGGATTTTTTTATCACAGTATTTTGCGCTTAAAAAGACCTTTGTCTGTGACTAGACCTTGCAGATATATATTTACCATCTCCACGTGCTTTTATAAACTCTAACTTTCAAACTATGAATTCCATCTTTACAAACAGGGTAAGGCAAATAGAAAACCACTGAGCAACGGCTTCAAGGGATCATTGGCTATAGTTTATGAGGCACATGGAATCCATCCAACAGATGACAAAAAAATCAATCAATAAATTGAAAAATCAAATATGTCAAGCAGCTTGGGCTTCCTGCATTTGTGTGGCGCTTGAGTTTCTATACATTAATCTGGCCCCACCTGGTGGCTTACCAATAAACAAAACACTTGATTTCTCTGGAGCTCCTGAGTCAACATATGATCTAATGTAGCAAATAAACCACTATGTACATTTTCCATAGTCTCTGTATATCATCATTAGCCCAAGCCAAAATACACAATGTAAGTAACATAGAAACATAGAATGTGACGGCAGATAAACACCATTTGGCCCATCTAGTCTGCCCAATTTTCTAAATACTTTCATTAGTCCCTGCTGTTATCTTATAGTTAGGATAGCCTTATGCCTATCCCACGCATGCTTAAACTCCTTTACTGTGTTAACCTTTACCACTTCATCTGGAAGGCTATTCCATGCATCCACTACCCTCTCAGTAAAGTAATACTTCCGGATATTATTTTTAAACCTTTGTCCCTCTAATTTAAGACTATGTCCACTTGTTTTGGTTGTTTTTCTTCTTTTAAATATAGTCTCCTCCTTTACTGTGTTGATTCCCTTTATATATTTAAATGTTTCTATCATATCCCCCGGTCTCGTCTTTCCTCCAAGCCATACATGTTAAGATCCTTTAACCTTTCCTGGTAAGTTTTATCCCGCAATCCATGAACCAGTTTAGTAGCCCTTCTCTGAACCCTCTCTAAGGTATCAATATCCTTCTGAAGATACGGTCTCCAGTACTGTGTACAATACTCCAAGTGAGGTCTCACCAGTGTTCTGTACAATGGCATGAGAACTTCCCTCTTTATACTGCTAATACCTCTCCCTATACAACCAAGCATTCTGCTAGCATTTCCCGCTGTCTGCCTACCTCTAAGTCATCAGAAATAATCACCCCTAAATCCCTTTCCACAAATGTTGAGGTTAGGACTCTATCAAATATTCTGTGCTCTGCCCTTGGGTTTTTACAGCTTATCCACATTAAATGTCAGTTGCCACAACTCTGACCATTTTTCTAGTTTGCCTAAAGCATTGCCGTTTGGCTTATCCCTCCTGGAACATCAACCCTGTTACATATCTTAGTATCAGCAAAAAGACATACCTTACCATCAAGACCTTCTGCAATATCACTAATAAAAATATTAAAGAGAATGGGTCCAAGTACAGATCCCTGAGGTACCCCACTGGTAACAAGTCCAAGCTTTGAATATATTCCATTAACTACAACCCTCTGTTGCCTGTCACTCAGCCCCTGCCTTACCCATTCCTATTGGAATCCAAACTTAAAGATTGCAATTTATTGATAAGCCTTCTATGTGCAACAGTGTCAGAAGCCTTACTGAAATTTAGGTAAGCAATGTCTACTGCACCATCCTGATCTATTATTTTTGTTACCCAATCAAAAAATCAATAAGATTAGTTTGGCATCATCTCCCTGAAGTAAACCCATGTTGTCTTAGATCTTGAAATCCATGTCATTTTAGATGTTCAACAATCCTATCCTCTAACATGGTTTTCATTACTTTCCCCACAACTGAAGTAAGGCTTACTGGCCTATAGTTGTCCAACTCCTCCCTACTACCTTTCTTGTGAATGGGCACAACATTCGCTAATTTCCAATATCCTGGGACTACTCCTCGTAACAAGTAGGTCTCCACATTTATATTCCACTGAATGCTTGCACAGTGCAGCTTCTAGTTCTGTCCCATAAACATGTGTTCCTCTTATTCTGAGGTAACATAGCTGAAAGATGGTAATTTGTTATGTGTTCTGATGTTTTAGCCTATGCACAAGGTCAGTAAATGTAAAATATAAGATGGCACAGTTTGTTTGGATATGTTTATTCACAATGTACAGTAATTAGACATGGATGGCTGATAACAAGATGGGACTTGCTTTTCAGCAATTCCAAAAGAGTATGAATCAAATTTTCATCCCGCTATTAAACATTAACTCTTCTTTCTCATTTTATGAATATATTAAGATTATACTATTAATGCCTTCTTCTTTTGAGTGCATAATGTGAATAAATTTTTTTATTTTTTTTAAACAATTGCTTGTTGAATAAGACATTAATTTGACTTGGGCACAAGCTCTGGTTCACTATTTGGGATACCATGAAATCTCCTCTTAAAAACTCTAGCAGGGCATACTCTCTGCCAAGAACCCTCTGGTCAATCACGGTGTGGCCAAATTGAGTTTGCAATGGTGAAGGACTTCCCTGGTACCCTGGTATTTACTGGAATATTATTTTGCAAACTTTGAAATGTGGAGAAATTAAAGAGAATTTGCAAGTTTAAAGCCCAAACCAATTTTTTTTTTTTTTTTTTTTTAAATGGTAAAATTATCTAGTTGAAAAATAATTGTTTCCAGCTGTCTTAAATCTGGTCAATTCTTTACAATTCCTAGAATGGTGCATAAACCCTAAGAGGAGATCAAATTGTGGTGGGCATCAAAATGGGTCTTTGCCTAGGTTGATTTAAATCATTACACCACCCTGACTTTTGGACTGCTTCCTAAATGTCTATAGGTAGAATAGATATCTATTGGAGAAATAGAAACCTAAATCTACAGAGTTTCAGTCTGACCACTTGACCACGGGAACAATTAAGCCTTAATCAAGACATGGCTGTAAATCTTCTCTTCTCTCTTTGCTAGCCTATCGATATGACATGGTCTAATGTACAGTAAAGATATAGTAAAAAATTCCTAAAACAAATTGGTGCCACAATCACCTGTGTGGGCCACACCACCACAAATAAAATAAGTGATATAATAAAATACAACAATGGTGAGAGCACTCAAGAATAATATAAATTTTACCCAAACTCTGTCAATCAATCTGGAACATTAAAACAGAAGAGAAAGACATAGGTAAATTAGTTTAAACAGAATATGTGTGTAACAATTAATGGTCTCACTCACATATACAGAGCCACTTAAAAGCTGGCTCAAACTTCAGGCTTGAAAAACAGTGGAAAACAGGACTTCACATGGGAACTTCCAAGGTTTCTGTAGCTAGTACCCCCAATTTCATTCAGGACGCCAGAATGAAGGTGGTTACAAATAAAATTTATTGAAATAAATAAACAGAATATAATGCCTCGGAAAATAAGTCCCTTAAAAAGTAAGTCCAGTCTCTCTCGCCTTCATCCGGAGTATTTCCACTGTTGTAAATCTCCACTTTATATACCGGAGATATTGGCGCCTTTTTCAATTTTAATTGCCGTTCTTCCGCTTCCTGTTGCGTCCTATGCGTCATGACGTCAGCCGGCGTCCTTATGTTACGACGTTGTTTGCTTCCGGATTTTTTCCCCTTTCTCCGGAACACAAACGTCATTCTGTTCAGACCGATGTCTAACCGGCACATGCGTACTTATACTTTCAAGTACTGAATTTACATAATACACATAAAAAAGCATTATGATAAACAAAATAATACATGAAATACTAAAATAAAGTTACAATTACTAATATTAAAAACAATTAGGAGAACATCAGAGAAGACATTAAACAATGCATAATCAAAGGAATGAATAATATCCATATACAAACTCTAAAAAATGAAAAACTCTTATAATAAAACTTTCAAGACCACATATATATAAAATATAGTTTAATACAATTAAATCAATAAGATATAAATAGTAGCAAATTGAATTAAAATATAAAATAAATAATAAAAATAAAAAATAAAAAATAATAAAACCAAAAGAAAAAAGGGGAAAAGGCATTATTAAATAAATGAATGTATTTCAAAATCAACATTTAATCCTTTTGGGGCTAATGTGTCCAATTCAAACATCCACTTCATTTCAGTTAAACTTAAAGTGCGATCTTTATCCCCACCTCTCCAGTGGATATAAATTTTATCAATGCCCAAAAAATCAATGCCTTGAGGATCCCCATTATGAAAGTCTAAAAAGTGTTTGGATACACTGTGGTTAATAAACTTTCTTTGAATATTGTAAATATGTTCTCTTATCCTTATTTTTAGGGGGCGTGAAGTCTTTCCTATATATTGGTACCCGCATTTGCATGTTAATAAATAAATTACATCCTTCATTTGACATGTGATAAAAGAATGTATAGGGTATTCTTTTTTTGTAACAAAGGAAGTACATTTCTCTATTTTCTTTTTACTATTGGACCTGAAACTACAACCCCTACAGTTACCACAGTAATAAAAACCTTTGCTAGTCTGTAAAAAATTCTTTTCAGGTTTAATTTTATCCTAATCTAAAAAACTTTTAGTTAAAATTTGTTTAGAATTTCTGGCCCCTCTAAAAATAAACCTTGGTTTTTGGTCTAAGAATGGGAGTATTTCATAATCCTCTTTTAGCAAGTCCCAATGTTTATTAATTATTTTCCTCAATGCATAATTATTATAACTAAAATTAAAAATTAACGGGATTTTTTCTTCTTTATTTTCTTCTGAGTGAGACCATTAATTGTTACACACATATTCTGTTTAAACTATATTATCCTATGTCTTTCTCTTCTGTTTTAATGTTCCAGATTGATTGACAGAGTTTGGGTAAAATTTATATTATTCTTGAGTGCTCTCACCATTGTTGTATTTTATTATGACATGGTCTAAGCTCGTTTATTACAATATACATTCCACATGCAACAGTTATGCAACTGTTGAATAACTATGCCTGGTATACTTATACTTTGCTTGTAAGTGCTGAAATTTGTTTACCAATGTCTTCTTTTTAATTGTATGTCATAGGCAGGAACTAATGGATACATGGCTCCAGAAATCCTAAAGGATGAATGTTATTCCTATCCGGTAGACTGGTTTGCTATGGGGTGCAGCGTTTATGAGATGATTGCAGGCCAAACGCCATTCAAAGATTTAAAGGAAAAAGTCACCAAAGAAGAAGTGAGGAGGAGAACATTGGAGGAGGAGGTTGTATTCAATCATCCAAACTTTACACCTGAAGCAAAAAGTATCTGTTCACTATTCCTTGCTAAGAATCCCGAACAACGTCTGGGGAGCAGGTAAGAATCCTACCTTCTCATTTTGGTGTAAACGTTGGCTCACACTTTCAAGTATTAATGGTAGCTCACAATATTTTTAAACATGTAGGTTTCTCCAAATGTTTTTCTGGAGAAACCACTACAAAGACCCTAAAAGTGTAGCGCTTACTTATACTTACCCCTAAATTTAGAGGTATCGGGTAGTCTCAGGTAAGGTAGAATATGCAAAAAAAAGGAAAAAGAAATCTCCAATAATGAAGTATGTCCAATAATGCATAAAAAAAATAGAAATGGTGGCAATTTACAGTAGGGGACTGGCTCGGATCACATGAACTTTGGTGTGTAATAGGAGACACCCTCCCTCTTTATTTTCTTATTTCAGGCTCAGGAAAAAACACATAAATGGAATTGCTCCTTGGTGAAGTATGTTAGGGTGAGTCATATATACAAAAGTATTTCAAATAGAAAATTGATCACCTTGTCCAGAGCCAAACCTTTAAACCTGGCTCTGGTTCACACAGCTTGTTACCCACTAAGGGGGATACACCTTCTTTAGGAGGTAGATGCAGGTAGCAGCACGATGTAGTAAATGATCCAATAGTTCAATTGATTAATATATAAAATATGTTAAAAAAAATATGTTAAAAAAGTAATACACATAATTTACAAAACAATAAAAAGTCTTTAGCTGCCAGCCTCTCAGAGACGCATTTCGCCCTTCCCTCGGAGAGACTCACAGGGAATGCGCTGGCTACAGGAGAGAGTGCCGCTGGCCTCTGCCCACTAAGCCCAGACTGCTTCACCACTGGGAGCAAGAGAGAGACCAGGGGTAACGGATACCTACACAGCAACCTGAGACGGACAGGTCAGAGCATGACACCGGAGGCTACCAGGTCAGCTACTTGTTGTTGGGTGGACTTCTCGACTAACTCAGGCACAGACCAGCAGTAGGTCTGGTATCTGGTTAGTCTTCCCTTGGGGGGGAGATATGTGGTGAACATAACCTTGCCACAGGCTCCTGGATGAGCCGGCTTGCCAGCCTCGTGCCTCAGGACTATGGGCCCTGCAAAATACACTTCAATAGGCTCTGTTCGTGTGAATTGGGATTATATTGTTCAGGAACCGAACAACTGCATGAACCAGAGACCACCCGTGCGCTTGTTAAGCCCAATTGACACCTTGTAGCGAGTTCCACCGCAGTTCTAATAATTCGTCTTGGTGGCCGCAATTTGTATGAACAACCACGAGGTGGCGGCCATCTTGTTCACATAAACGCAGACAGCGGTGTTTGGTAGTCGAGTTCATGGAACTGAAATCAGACACTGAAACTCCCAAACACCGCTGGACCATCATCACCTGCATTCAGTTCTATACAACTTAGAAGGGTACTGTTCAGTGGAATCGTTCCCACGAAGAAGGTGAACAAGCTACACATGTTAACTATGGATTCAGTTCAGTATTTTATGCACTTTTATACTTCCGAAATAGACCGACCATTAGCACTGATTCCCTTGGAACTGTTTTGGGCATAGGACCATGTGTGCGGTCGGTCAAATGATTGACTTCCATGGAAAAACCGAACCTCTGGTAATTTTTGGATATGTTTGTAACCCAGATTGGGGCTATGTAACTTGTGTAACTAATTTGTGGGGTTTCTATGGATTTTGGGGGTACTTTTGGGATGTTTATAAATTGTATATTTTTTGTACCTGAGATAATTTTATTACATGTTTGCTTCTCAGATAATTATCTCTCAGGCACAAAGGATCATGGGAGGGATTTCCCTGTATTCTTGTACTGAAAACCCCTTGCAGGAGCTTTTGCATAAAAGGCTGTGTGTGGCCTCCAATAAAACAGTTCATCCCCAGCATTCAGTCTCGACTAATGTCTGTGGGGGAAGCTATACTTGCTATAATCACGTGCTATACTGCTGTGGATTGTTATACAGCTATATTCTCTTGGAGGAGAGGTCTTCCCACTGGGAGCTGGATCCAGGTGTTGGTCCAGGGTGGAAAGGGACGGCGAGACCCCAGCCATGCTGTGGCGGCTAAAGGGGACTACGGTGCTTATGGTGTCCAGTGCGGTGCTTGTAGTACTCGTGATACTAGTAAGCAGCGATTGGCAGAGGTACCCAGTTGGGGTGCCAGGCGGTTCGCCACAACATCAAACAAACAATAAAAAAGCTGCGTGCCACAACATCTGGATCCTGGACCAACATGCCTTTTAATTGGATGCATGACCTTATTACACCAATTTTCACCACAATTTGCCAGTGTTCTCTACTGACAGGTTCCATAAAACAAACTGTGCTCCATCTTATTTTAAAAAAGCCCTCACTGAATCCTGACTGCAATGGAACTTACAGACCTATCTCAAAACTTCATTTTCCTATGGAAAGTCAACAAGATATTTGTTGCAACTCAACTAGAAACATATCTGTCAACAAACAATATTTATGACTCGTTCCAGTAAGTTTTTACAGCAATCCATAGTATTACAATTGCCCTAGTATGAGTACTAAATGGTCTACTGATGGAAAAAGAAAGAGGTGAGTGCTCAATTTTAATTATCCTTGACCTCTCTGCTGCATTCGACACCATGGATCATGGAATTTTATTACACCACCTGCCCAACACCTGTGGTCTGTGTATATGCTTTCAATGGGGGATATCATGGGGAAACATGGCCTAACCTACCAAATATGACACACAAATATACATCTCCTTCAAACAAAAAACTTAAATGTTCCAGCAAAATAAGTGTATTGGTGATCTCCTGGAATGGCTGAAGCTAAACCCAGACCAAATAGAAGTAGTGGTGATTGGTATAGATAGTTTGATAAGCAGGCTGCAAACAGGTCATCAAATCAGTCTAGAATATGAAGGATCAATATGTAATGATATTGATGTTACAAAGTTTTTGGAGTCCAGTAGCCAGATCAGCAATGTTTTCTGCCAGAGGTAGCCACTCGTTACCCAGGTGGTTGAGCCCCTGAGCCTTGAGTGGCCTTCTGGTCTTAAGCAGAGATGGGAGACTGGAACAGAAAGATGATAATCGTAGTGAGGCAAGCCGAGGTCAGTGGGAAGGAGAAGCAGCAAAGTCAAAACAGTCCAAATTCAGCAACAGGAAGGAGAAACAGGAACACGCTTGATTAGAGAGTACAGGAACCACAATAATCTGGCAAAGGTACAGAGACAGGAAGTGGCTTTTATAGGCCAAGAACCAGACACCTGACCAGACACAGCTGAAGAGAGTTGTCACTGATAACCTTGACTCTACAAGCAATTGTATAAGATCTCAGATAAATTTGCAAAAGGCAGGCTGGTGTACTGGTAAGGAAAAGGTTTAGCACCATGTAAACCAGGGTTCGAAACCCAGCAGAGTCAGTTCCTCACACAATACTACAAACCTTAATTCTATCTAAAGAATCTTTATGTAGAGCTTGAGAGAGAACTTCCACTGAAACATCATATATCAGATAAACCACATGCCTCATTCTTCAATTTAAATAATATAGCCAAGACCAATCCTGCAGAAGATCTTCCTATGATCATCCATGCTTTGTTGACATCACATTTAGACTACTCCAATGCACTCTATTATGGTCTCCCAGAAAAATTACTTCATTGTCTTCAGCTGATACAAAATACTGCAGCGAGACTACTAGTTGGTCAGTCAAAATTTTGCCAAGTGACGCCCATTCTTTGCAATGGTTACCAATGAAATGGCACATACTATTCAAGATAGGTCTGCTATTCTACAAAGCTCTACAAGATCTAAGCTATTTAAAATAATTATTGGTGCCCTATGTCACTATTCGCATGCTGCGTTCAGTGCCCAGAATTCAACAAAAATGTGGTTTAAGAACCATACCGACCCCTTCTATGGAACGCTCTCCCTAGCACAGTGAAAGAAGCCACCTCCCTGGACATTTTAAAGCAAAGACTCAAGACCTACCTGTTTGCACAAGCCTTTCAGTAATAGAATCTGTAACTTCTAAATATGTGACTGAATATTTTCGAAAGCAGTTTGAGTGAATGCGGTGAAAAATGTTGTATAAGTTATTCCAAGCATTGCCCCTTCACAGAATAATCAGCCACCATAAATGAGTAATTTGTTACTATTTATAACACCAGATTTCTATTCTCATTAGTTCAAACAGAATTAAATTATTCTATACAGAAAGAAGAAAACATGATAACTCAGAAGAAGGAAAACATATGGAGCAGGAATTATCTTATACATCAACTAATGACCACATTGAGACAAACAGCAATGACAACCGGAGGGAGGTGCTGGATGTACCATATCAGACCAGGCCTTCCATTAGAAATACTTTACATTAACCCCTTAAGGAGACATGACGGAAATATTCTGTCATGATTCCCTTTTATTCCAGAGGTTGTGTCCTTAATGGGTTAATAATAAGAACATGCAACATTATCTCAATGTTATTCACTAAGGTGTGATTCAAAATGAGCTGAAACAAAAAAATTATCCAAGTCAGAAATGTTTTTTAATTCATGTATTTTGGCCTAAAATCTAAAATTCACTTTGAAATTAGCTTTTGATTCTCATCAATTTGCACTTTAGTGGAAAACTCTATACTATGTTAAAATGGTGAAAGGGTTACTCCAACCACTATGACCACTTCTGCTTTTTGAAGTGGTCATGATGGTAGGAGTCTGGGTGTGCAGTGTTTCTGCTTGAAACATCGCACACCCAGAGATAGTTTTAATTGTGTGCTAGCGGACAACTGCACCCCCAACACATGTGACTATGCTTAAAGGACCACTATAGTGCCAGGAAAACAAACCCTTTTTACTGGCACTATAGTGCCCTAAGGGTGCCTCTACCCTCAGGGTCCCACTCCCGTGGCGCTGAAGGGGGAGGAAGGGGTTAATCCCCTTTTTTTTTTTTTCAGCGCCGGGCTCCCTCGTCGCTGGGATTCTCCTCCCTCTTCTGAAGTCCCTGGCTGAATGCGCATGCGCGGCAAGAGCCGCACATGCATTCAGCCAGTCCATAGGAATTCATTCTCAATGCTTTCCTATGGACGCTGGCGTCTTCTCACTGTGAAAATCACAGTGAGAAGCGCGGAAGCACCTCTAGCGGCTGTCAATGAGACAGCCACTAGAGGCTGGATTAACCCATATGTAAACATAGCAGTTTCTCTGAAACTGCTATGTTTACAGCAAAAAGGGTTAAACCTAGCTGGATCTGGCACCCAGACCACTTCATTAAGTGCTGACTGGATTAAGGTAGTGCCGACTGGATTAAGGTAAGTAAAGACTAAATGCTTCAGAATAAATGCATGCTAATAGGGCAATGTTCTAATAAAATCGAAAAAGGGTTGGCAAAACCTTTTAATCGCTGGGGTCCAATATTTGATATGTTTATTAAAGGAAAACTTTAAAGTGAGTATAACTCAACTCTACACTGACCAGCCACAACATTAAAACCACTGACAGGTGAAGTGAATAACATTGATTATATTGTTACAATGGCATCTGTCAAGGGGTGGGATATATTAGGCAGCAAGTGAACAGTCAGTTCTTGAATTTCATGTGTTGGAAGCAGGAAAAATGGGCAAGCGAAAAGATCTGAGAGGGCAAAATAGTGATGGCTAGACGAGTGGTTCAGAGCATCTCCATACAGAAGTCTTGTGGGGTGTTCCTTGCATGCAGTGGTTAGTACCTACCAAAAGTGGTGCAAGAAAGGACAATCAGCAAACAAGCTTGTGTATGTGAGCCATTTACATGGAGTAGTAATGGCAGCAGGTTGGCAGAGGCAGTGTTATGCTCTGGGCAATGTTCTGCTGGGAAACCTTGGGTTCTGGCATTCATATGGATGTTACTTTGACACGTAGCACCTACCTAGAGATTGTTACAGACCACGTACACCTTTTCATGCACTGCTGTTCCCTGATGGCAGTTGCCTTTTTAGCAAGCTAATGCACCCTGCCACACTGCATAAATTGTTCAGCAATGGTTTGAGGAACATGACAAAAAGTGTAAGAGGTGTGGCCTTGGCTTCCAAATTCCCCAGATCTAAATCTGATTAATGATATGTGAGATGTGCTGGAACAACAAAGACGATCCATGGAGGCCCCACCACGCAATTTGAAGGACTTAAAGGAACACTATAGTGTTAGGAATACAAAGCTTTATACCTAATAATATAGGAACCCTCTGACCCACTCCCTCGCACCTTCCCCCTGGCAATGTAAAGGGATAAACACCTTTTTTCATTTACCTGATTCCAACGCCAATGTCCCCAAGCCATGACAATGACACAAAGTGGTCTGGGTGTCTATAGGATCTGCAGCTAATATCTTGGTGCAAGATGTCACAAGACATATTCAGAGGTTTTGTGGAGTCCGTGCCTCAACGCATCAGATCTGTTTTTGGCAGCACGACGGGGGGCAGCACGACAGGGAGCCACACGATATTGGGTGGTTTTAATGTTGTGGCTGATCAGTGTATGCATTATCACTCTTTAAAATATTTTTCATATTTTTAGGTTATTTTGTGATTTCAGTATACAAGCTGTCAAAACTTTGTCTTAGTATACAATCTGTAAATAACTAATTTCTTACATTCATTCCATTGCCCTAGGTGAGTTAAATCTTCATTATCAACATTCTATAAGTATAGAACAGTTGGACTAATATTGTAACTCCATGCTCATCAAGAATTTTGCTGCCTGGGTCCGTGAAAAGAATCCTGCCTTCTCCCCTGCACATGTGCTAGCCAATGAATACCTTTACTTCTTACTTCACCAATCTCGTATAAACATACATAATTATACACACACACAGACACATACTTGTCAGACACCTAATCATACAGGCATACCCTGACACATACTCTTATTTCTCCTGGGGGGGGAAGGGGAGGGGGGTTTGCAGCTGACTCCGTGGTCCCCATAATTCCTGGAGTGCTGTCCTACTAACAGGGTAAATCTAAAGACCGTCTAGCATTTATATATGATCTTCACAGCAGAGGGCACTGTGGTCTCCAGTCTAATCTCTTGTGTCTTTCATTCTCCTGGAGCCTAAATTGATTTTCATCTGCTAAATGGAGAGAGGAGAGATGGCTTTGGTGTGCTTCTTTCATTGCTTCTACGACACATGTACATCTTTCACATCCCCCAGCCATTACACACCAGCATTTAAAAAAAAAAAAACTATGTTAGTAATGAATGTAGAAATGTGTAAATGCAATGTGGCTTAGTAGAGAAGTAAAACAAGAGATTAAAAATAAAAGGGCATTTAAAGCATTTAAATCAGACAAATCAGAGGCATCCTATATAAGATATAAGGAAGCCAATAATGCTTGCGAAAAAAACAATTAAAGTGGCTAAACTAGAAAATGAGAAATTGATAGCCAAAGAATGCAACCAAAATAAATAAATGAAAGTGTAGGTACACTGGAAACAGAGATGGGTTTGTTTGCTATTGAAGATCAGGAAAAGGCAGAAATTTTAAATAACTATTTTTCTTCAGTATATATTAAAGGACCACTATAGGCACCCAGACCACTTCAGCTTAATGAAGTGGTCTGGGTGCCAGGTCCAGCTAGGATTAACCCTTTTTTTTTTTTTTATAAACATAGCAGTTTCATAGAAATGTTTTATTCATAACTAAAGAGACATTTTTTTAAAATCAAATTTGTAGGAACAGGTAGATTGTAATGCCCTTTGAATTGCACAGCATGAAAATTAATTCAATTAACCAATATTATTGCACTGATTTTTATGATTTCAAAATTTGCCCCAAAGTCACTTTTCATACATAATCCCATCCAACTCTTTGTCACTGATTTCTATATCTCTGCTTTGCTGAACTCCACATCAATCTGTTATCTTGTCCATTGTGCACTGTGACGGTTGTGTGTGCTGATGACGATACAGTGGTGTTTTATTTTGCAGGAGCAATGATGATGATCCCAGGAAACATCACTTCTTCAAATCCATAAACTTCCAAAGGCTGGAAGCTGGGATGGTGGATCCCCCATTTGTACCAGACCCTTCTGTGGTTTATGCCAAAGACATTGCAGATATAGCTGATTTTTCAGAGGTTCGAGGGGTTGATTTTGACGAAAAAGATATGAAGTTTTTTAAGAGGTTTGCAACAGGGGCTGTACCAATCAGCTGGCAAAAGGAGATCATCGACACAGGACTGTTTGATGAGCTAAATGACCCAAGAAGGCAATCATGCGGGCGTTATTTAAATAGCTCCGGAGAGAGGAAGTCAGGTGTATGTTCCATTATCTAAGGTCCATATGGAACTGAGCTATCAGGAACTTGCTATGCAGCTCTGCCTGGAAAACACATCATTACAAATGGTCAACTGGTTCTGGTTAAAATGTTTAAATGGAGGCTAATGTTCACCTATAATTTTATTTCTTATATGAAAGCGCTTCACCTATTTAAGTAGAAATGTACATGCAATAATTTGAAGCAAGATATTCTGTGAGACATTATTGTTTTGGTAGCACACTGTGGGAAGCCATTTTTATTGGCTCTAAAAAGAGCACTTTATGTCGACAAATGTGCGCACTGGCTTTATCTGATGTAGGAAATGTAAGCACAAGACTAAGGTGCCTTGCATTTAGTGGTTTCCTGTCCGCTTATGGACATCTAAAATACAATCAGTGGTTATCAAAAGGCCAGCAAACAGGTACATTTCTAGCCGTTAAATAACAAGCCCTATTATATTCACACTGTGGAGTATTTAGGGAGTTATAGTTGTACAATAAACCTGAAATTCTACAAGCAGCCTCATACGATTTAGTCTAATACACTGAAAGGCGGTGTGTTTGGATACAGATGCAGATTTAGTAATGTTCATTCTTATTATCTACCTCTTTGGATTTCTCCTGCCACCGTGGCAATTTCACCGTATTTATCAGCAGTAGGATTGAAATATAAACCTGTTGAATGGCATGGAAAGAGCCTGTAGGGTTACACAATGAATTATAAGTTTATGTCATCACAAAGCATTTAAATTTACACCTGACCTGATCAACAGTGTGGTTCTTATGGTTTAGTTTGTTAAATCTGCCCTCCACCGGTAAGCATTTTGTTTTGTTATGCTCAAAGACAATAAAAAATCTACAATAAAAGCACGCTACAAGTCATTTAGTTTGTTTATATCCAGAAATTTAAAGAGCTACATGTCACAGTGAATAATAAAAAAACAGATCACAAAACATTTATTAGATCTTCACATAAAAAAAAAAAAAAAATTTCACTAACACACAAAAAAGACTACGGTAATTTGAAAAAGCAACAATTAATAAAAACACAACAAAATAAGGTAAGTCGGCTCAGTGTTCCTCTGATGTGACTGCTCATCACAATGTGCCTAGTGCTACATTTTGTATGAAGCTTGCCCATGCAAAGATTAAACCAGCAAAGGGATTGGTAATATTTTATGAAGACAGCATTGTCTAGTATGCCATATGTATTTCTTTATTAAGTAAAAAAACTCTGAGCTTACAACTACTGTTAAAGGAACACTCCCACCCCTTAACAACCTGAGATAATTTAGAGGGGCATGCTAGCAGCAGGACTAATTTAGAAAGGGCCCTGGTGCATTCCTTCTCCTTCCTCCCCCCCCCCATTTCATTCCTTCTCCTTTCCCCCCCCATTTCATTCCTTCTCCTTCCCCCCCCATTTCATTCCTAACCCCCCCCCCTCCCTCGAATTTCATTCCTCCTACCCCCCCTGACACTGGCGGCGGGCGGGCAGGCCGGCGCGCGAGGGAGCACTCTCTGTGTGCTTCCTCTTCAGCTCCCTCGCGCGCCGCGTACTGATGCCGGAGCCGGAAGATGACGTCATCTTCCGGCTCCGGCATCAGTACGGTGCGCGAGGGAGCTGAAGAGGAAGCACGCAGAGAGTGCTCCCTCGCGCGCCGGCCCTCCCGGTGTCAGCAGGGCCAGCCTCTGGGGGCCCTGACGTGGCCGCCTCCTGGGCCCCCCAGGAGAAGAGGCTGGCCCTGTGGGTACATACCGGGTCGCAGGGCCCCCTGCGAGCCGGTTTGTACCCACTGAATGTGGGGTCCGGACGACCTGAGCAGTCCGGGCCCCCCAGGACCGCCGGGCCCATGACAACCATTGCGGTTGTCATGCCCTGATGGCGGCCCTGTACCCACGGGTCCATAACCAGGGGCCTGTCAAAAATCTGTTTCAGCAAGTACTCCACCGCCTTCCAGAAGCTACATATCTTCGGGCAATCCCACCACATATGGATGTACGTTCCTCGGGCTCCGCATCCCCTCCAGCAATCGTCTGTGTCCATTTTGTGCATTTTATAGAGCTTTACGGGTGTAGTATACCACCTGAACATGGTTTTCCATGTCTGTTCCTGTAGTGTGACACATACAGAAGCATTTTTATTCGCTTCCCATATCTCCTGCCACTCGATTCCTTCCAATACCTCCCCTATGTCCGCTTCCCATTGATTGGTGTATGTCAGTCTTCCTCATTCTTTATTTTCTGCACTTAGGTGCGCATATAGGAGCGTGATCAATCCCTTGGGTTCTCTGGGGGCCATGCCGGGTTGAAACTCCGGGTTTCTAAGTAGTGGAGTTAGGGGGAAGGGCGACGTCCCCAACCCGTACTTGGTATAATTCGTATCCCATATTTGTAGCAAGTTGAGTATGGCCAGACAAGTCACACGTATCATGGGTCTATATTCCTTAGGGACCCACATTGCGAACTGGGGGATATCCGAATCCAACCAGCATGGACTCGATCTCAACCCACTTCCTTTCTTCTGGCGGGGAGTGCAACATAACCACTTGCGGCAGTTGAGCCGCAAGGTAATAAAAATATAGGCTCGGGAGGCCCAGCCCCCCTCTATCTTCACGCCTATAAAGGACTTGTCTGGCCCTGGGGGTATTGCCCTTTAAAGACAGTATTTGGGCATGATGGGTTTTTATTATGCAGCTACTGGCCCTTTAAGCACAGTGTATGGACTTCTATTAGACTGTGTATAGATTGTGTATAGGACGGTGTACCCCTCCCCCATTTCCTGTCCCAATGTTCTCCCGCAGGGCGTTGTCCCAGGCACACTGCCAGACTAGTTGGAACTGATTTGGGCTGGAAAGTTTGGTCTGGAAAGCATGCTTCAGTGGACATAAAGGGAACTCCACCTAACTTTTTAATCCCCATAACTCCCGAACCCCTGGTCCAATCTGGGTGATTTTTTAATGTTATTCACCCAGATCAGGGCTATCAGGGGATACCACATTTAGGGGTGTACCCTATGTATTTGGGGTACATCTAGAACTTGGGGAAAAATTTGTACATTTTAATTCTGTTAACAGATAAGCTGATGGGAGGAGATGTGAGGGTTGTACCTTGTACTTTATTGGTTAATGTACTAATTATTGTGAGTGGCTCCCTTGCACAGGAGCATTGCATAAAAGCAGGGGTTGTGTGATTAAAAATAAGTTAAGTTCTGCTCCTGATACTGTGTGTCGTCCAGTGATTGGGGAAAGTGATGGGATATTATTTGATTTTATTGCTGATTGTGCTTGTTATGCTGGTGGAGTATTCTCTCAATGTGGGTACTGTGCCTGGGATTATTGCTTGTTCCTGAGCCACACCTGGACTACCAGTGCAAATAGTCTGTGAGAGACCAGCATTCCGTTACAACGGGTAATGCCCGAAATAGAAATAGAATGCTTGGAAGGCAGTGGCGTACATAGTGGGGTTGCAGAGGTCGCGTCTGCGACCGGGCCTGGCCCACGGTATGTACCCAGTGTGGCCAGCCTCTTCTCCTGGGGGCCCAGGAGCCGGCCTCCTCAGGGCCCCCGGAGGCTGGCCCTGGTGTCACCTGGCGGGCTGGCTATCACGCGCGCGAGGGAGCACTCTTCCCTGAGTGCTCTCTGCCCAGCTCCCTCGCGCACTGCACTGATATCATCTTCCGGCTCCGGCATCAGTACGCGGCGCGCGAGGGAGCTGAACAGGAAGCACTCAGGGGAGAGTGCTCCCTTGCGCGCCCGCCAGCCAGCCCGCCGGGTGACACCACTGGACCCCAGGGAATCCCTCAGCTCTACCAAAGGTAAGGAGGCTGGGGATTAAATTTAAAAAAAAAGTGTGTGTGTGTGTATTAGTGTGTGTGTTAGTGTGTGTTAGAGTGTGTGTGTGTGTGTGTGTTAGTGTTAGAGTGTGTGTGTTAGAGTTAGAGTGTGTGTGTGTTAGTGTGTGTGTGTGTGTGTGTGTTAGAGTGTGTGTTATTGTGTGTGTTAGTGTGTTATTGTGTGTGTCTGTTAGTGAGTCTGTTTGGTGAGTGTGTGTTTTGTAAGTGAGTGTGTATGTGTCTGTCTGTCAGAGAGTGTGTATGTATGTCTGTCACTGAGTGTGTGCCTGTCACTAAATGAGTGTGTCTGTTAGCTAGTGTGTATGCGTCTGTTCATGAGAGTGTGTGTGTGTGTGTCTTCAGCACTTACCTTTCTCCAGTGCCAGACTCCCTTGGCGCTGGGGATCTTTCCCCCCCGATCCGCCTCTCAGCTCTGAATGCGCATGCGCGGCAAGAGCCGCACACGCATTCAAACCGCCCATAGGAAAGCATTACTCAGTTTCTCTGAAACTGCTATGTTTTCAGCTGCAGGGTTAAAACTAGAGTGACCTGGCACCCAGACCACTTCATTGAGCTGATGTGATCTGGGTGTCTGTAGTGATCCTTTAAGTGTATGTGTATCTGCATGCACTGGCGTACATACTGCGGTCGCAGGGGTAGCAGCCCTGCGACCCCTGCGACCAGGTGCCCGCCGCCATTGTGTTGCGGCTCCGGCCCGCGCAGAGTAAGCGCGAGGGGGCCCACGCATCAGTTTTCGCACTGGGGCCCCATGGGTTGTGTGTACGCCACTGGTGGAAGGATGTTCATTTTGACAGAATAAATCTGTCCTATCCACGAGATGGGCTTATCCGCCCACTTTTCTAGGTCGCCAGTCAATGCCCTGAGCAGGGGAGCATAATTGGCTATGTATAGACGTCCCGGGTCTGCTGTTAGATGAATACCTAAGTATTTCAGGGAGTCTGCTTCCATCCGAACTTGGTAGGTCTCCCGTATCCGATCTGTATCTGCCTGTATCTGGCATAGCGCTGGACTTATGTATATTCGCTTTATATCCAGACACCTCCCCATATTATTTTATTACATCCTGAAGTTCCGCCATTGACTCCGTCAGGTTCGTGATGGTCAGGAGGACGTCGTCCGCGTAGGCCGAAACTGTAAACTCTCTGTCTCCTACTCTAACACCCCTAATATTCGGGTGCTTGCGTATTGCCTGTAGCAAGGGCTCTAATGCCAGCACAAAGAGGAGGGGGGAAAGTGGACACCCCTGTCTGGTTCCGTTATATAACCTAAATGGCTTCAGTGGAGCTCCCGTTATCTGTATCTATGCCCGCACATTATGGTACATTGTTTTTGTGATTGTTACATACTCCTCTGGGAAGCCCAAGTGTGTCAACAATGAGAACAGGAATTGCCACCGAAATCTGTCGAAGGCCTTTTTGGCATCAATCGAAAACACCAAGGTGGCATTCCCGGTGGTCACTTGTTTCCAGATCAGGTCTATATTCCTCCTGGTATTCTCAAACAACTGCCTACCTTGAATAAAACCGACCTGGTCCGCTTGTATGAGTGAGTTCAACAACGAGTTCAACCTATCCGCTTGTATCCTTGCTAGTATCTTCAAGTCGTGGTTGATTAACGATATGGGCCTATAATTTTCTGGATGGAGCGGATCTTTTCCTGGCTTGGGCAGTAACATGATGGTAGCTAGGGACATGTCAGGTTCCAGGTGTCCTCCCTGTCTCAGGTTACCAAAAAGCCTCACCAGTTGAGGCTTGAGCTCCTCCCTGAAGGTCTTGTAGTATGTGCCGTCGAAGCCATCTGGTCCTGGTGCTCTATTGCCTTTCAGGCCCGATATGGCTCTATCCACTTCGTCCTCAGTGATTTCTGCCGCCAGGCCACTTACCGCCTCTCTATCCAATTTGGTCATCCCCAGGTCATCTAAGTATTTAAGAATGTGCTCCTTCTCTTGCCCATCATGAGGATTCCCATCCGGTGTGTGATTGTACAACCGTTTATAAAAATCCTCAAAGACCTTAGCAACGTCCATTGGTGTTGATTTTATCGCGCCATGTGGGTGACATGTGACCGCTCCTGTCTGGGTCGA